GGGCCACAATAGGAAATCCAAGTTTTACATAGAAATATATAGAACAAATCTTTGAAAATCTTCTCAAGAACCACTGGGCCAGGAAAGCTGAAACTTATGTGGGAGCATCCTTGGGTAGTGTAGATATTAAATTGTTAAAATCATGACCCTCGGGCGTAGGGCGGGGCCACAATGGGGAATCCAAGTTTTACATAGAAATATATATAGAACAAATCTTTTAAAAAGATCTGCATCACCCAAGTTACTCAGGTGAGCGATGTGGCCCATGGGCCTCTTGTTTCCTCAAACCACAAAAAATTGACCCCCCAAAAATATTAATTTATTTTACTGTTTTAGTTTATGCAGTTCAGGGATTTTTTTACCCTTGAATTCCAGGGGCCGGGGCTGTCAAGATTGGGAAAAATAGCGATATTTGGTTGAAATTGGGAAAAATATCTTCATACAAATAAAAAGGAAAAAACAAGCAAAAGTCAACTATTTAATCTTTTTTCTTATCTTTTATTGTATGAAACTGGCTTCAATCAGCTTTACTGATATGAAATAATTGCGGCTGTTGAAGATCAGAAGCTTAAAAATGGCAAAGCTACAGAGTATGATAAAATTGTAGATGAACATATTTATACGTTGTCATCTCTTTTTACCTTTATTTAAGAAGATTGTTAAAAATAAAAGTTGATAGTAGATTTGTTCCTGATGAGTGATTAATCGGTACTGATTAACCAGTTTATAAGAATAGGACTCAAGAGCGATTCAACCTAGCCTGAAAATTACCGTTCGAGGCAAACTGGAAAGACTGCCATGAAGCACATTAATTTATTAAATAACGATCCCGACTTAAATTTTCCACGCTTTAAAAACATCCGTAGTATTACGAATGACTTCTCGGAACTTCTCGGATGGCTCGTACATCGCACACAGAGAACATAACACCTGTTTTTAATTTTTTTATTTTAATAATTTACAACTTAAAACTTTTTTCATATTGGGAATTTTTAGGTATAATTTTGGGGAAAACATGCACTTTTCAGCATTGGGAATGGGGCCGAATTTCGGCCCCAGAGAGACCCTAAAAAATCCCTGCAGTTGGATGAGAATATTAGAAGATTAAAATTGAAATCTAAAAAAAATGATATAGATGATAAATTCTTAGTAAATTATGTATAAGTGCATGCTCATGCACATACATATGTCATAAATACTTTCTTTAAAACTATAAGCAAAATACAAATTAATGTAATATGTGAGACCTTCATCAGCTGTTCATGTGCTTACTCTTGTATTGTTTACAATTAATTTATTCTGAATGGAGATACACTATAATCATAGTACATGACTTTAAAGTTATTAATTAAGCTTAAGCAGCATTTATTATGTCTTATTTTTATTCAGATTTTGTTTACAAAACTTGCTGTAATACCAATCATGTTTTGACAACATCCCCCATTTTCAATAGTTTGTTTACAAATTTTATTCTCTAAGTTTCTGCGTAAATACGGTAAAATAATACATTTTAACAGATTACAGTTGTTTATAATTACCGGTTATTGATCTCTGTTCAGTACCAGCGTATTCTTTTACTTACATCTATGTGATATCGTCATTTTACCGCTCGCGAACTTCTTGCGTTTCCTTCGTCTGATTGACCGCTTCACTACTCATCTTGTCACCTGTGATTCTGCTGCCTGAGTTCTCATTATTTAACCATGTTGTACATTATTTTATCTTGAATTATTGTAATATGATGTTGACCAATATTTTTGTCCTTTATTTACTTTATTATGGTGAACTATTGTCTTATTTTATCGATCTATCCTAGGCACTATGTTGTGAAGTCGCACTTCCGTATTTGCGTATATCGCTACACGCACTACTTCTGAAGGCGCCTAGATTCGAAACTTGATTTTTATAACAAAACTACATAGTCTTGGATAATTTCATTTATTAAACTAATTACATATTTTAGTGTCCATGTAATTAAAGTAATCCGGACAAAGTCTTGTATTGTTCATTAAATGTTTATTAAGGGTTTTAATTCTGCTTGTCCGGAGATTGGATATTGTTCGGATTTTCCATAGATCCGTACAGCGTTTGGATTGGTTATTAATTTTCCGGACAAAAAGGACAAACGCTGATTGGTGATAGAAGGTTATATATAGGACCCAACTTCAGTATCTCGACACTCAATCTTGACTCTACATCCCTTGTGGTTGCTAGTTCTTGAACCAAATCCTCAGAGAAAGCTTAAGGTATTCAAGATGATAGATCTTGTAGTGGATGATGCTAATTTTTATAAGGACTCAAGCGTCCGGACAGGGCAGTATTATGAGTAGAGATATTATTCCAGTCATGTAGACCAGTAATTTGTTTGTTTACAGTTCGAGTTATTAATTAGGACTTATGACCGGAACATTTCTATTAGTTGTTTCCAAGTTCAGAAGTTAATTGGTTATAGTTTATGACAGAATTATATTTTGATAGTTGTCCGGATCGTTTGTTCGGATGTCCAGAATAGTTCACACAGTTAAGTTCACATAGGTTATTCTTGTCCGGAATGGGTTGTCCGGATTTGGCAGTATATGTTCGGATTTGCTTAAGCTGAAAATAAAGTCATTTTAGGAATATTCATATGTCCGGAATAATTTACACATAGTATCTTCATAGTAAGGCAGTATTTAAGTTGATTGCTACATGTAGGAATATTTAGTGCAGATTTAGAATAGATAGTTAGGGACTGTCCAGATTGACGCATGTTAAAAATAAATTCATAATTATTTTAACGCAAGTATTTACGCAAAGTTATTTCACTTCGAGTCGGGAGCTAGAGTTGTTTGCAGATACTAGAATAAATAAACTAAATACTAATGTAAGAAAAGTAAGGTTATCAAGGAAGCATCCTCTTACTGTAGATTCAGATTTGTTCAAATCATGATCCCAGGGGATAGGGTGGGTCCACATGGGTGAACAAGGTTTTAGGAATACATAGTTAAAATTCTTCTAAAAAACAACAAAGCCATAATTGATAATTAACATAAAAGCATCAAAAAAAGGTAAGGCCAAAATAAAAAATATTCTTGTTTCCTGTCACCCGACCTACCCTACATTTTACCCTCCGACCCTAAAAGTTTTTTATTACATTTTCATTTTTTGGGTAACTATTTTCCTAAAATACTGAAGTCGACCAACGATACTTACAGAATTAATACATCACAAGTGTACAGGATACCTTTACTTTATAAATCTTGATTTAACAAACTTGCTTTGTAAACTGTTAAAATATAATTTTCTTGTTTTTACATGCTATATGTTCAGCATTCATTGAGTTTTAAAAATAAAATTTTTTCCCTGCCTACCGACCCTAGTTTTTTAGGTCAGGGGACAGGAAACAAGAGTATATTTTCTTTTGGCCTAATATGGATTTAAACCTGTTCAAATCAAATCATAGGAGAACAGAGGAGCCATTAGAGTGGATCATAACAACAAGGAATATAAAGGCTATGTCAATAAAAATTTTCATCTTATAAACAACAAAGCCATTATGTGTCATATTAATTTAAAAGCATCCTTAGGAAGTGTAGATTTAAGTTTGTTCAAATACCTCCTCCCTCCTCCCCTGAACCCAATTTTATATTTAAATTGATTTTTGCTTTTACCTAGCCAGTTACTCAGGTGAGTAATGTGGCCCCTGGGCCTCTTGTTGACTTAAGTGATTTTTAGCTCTACTGGTCAGAGACCAGAAGAGCTTATGCGATAGTAATGCGTCCGTCGTCCGTCCGTCTGTCTGTCCGTCTGTCTGTCCGTCTGTCTGTCTGTCTGTAAACAATCTTTCAAAATGCTACTTCTCCTACAGGTTTGGTCTGATTTCAATATAACTTGGCACATAAGTAAACTACACTAAAATACATAATTCTGTGTATCAGTTTTTGATTTCGATGAACGGTGTTGCCGTGGTTACTAAAAATAGAAATTTCTGTGAAATTCTTTCAAAATACTACTCCTTCTACATTTTTGGTCTGATTTCAATATAACTTAGCACACAAGTAGACTACACTAAGATACATAATTCTATATATCGGTTTTTGATTTCAGTGAACGGTGTTGCTGTTGTTGCTAAAAATAGAAATTTCTGTGAAATTCTTTCAAAATGCTACTCCTCCTACAGTTTTGGTCTGATTTCAATATAACTTGGCACACAAGTAGACTACACTAAGATACATAATTCTGTGTATCGGTTTTTGATTTCGATGAACGGTGTTGCCGTTGTTACTAAAAATAGAAATTTCTATGAAATTCTTTCAAAATGCTACTCCTCCTACAGTTTTGGTCTGATTTCAATATAACTTTGCATACAAGTAGACTACACTAAGATACATAATTCTGTTTATCAGTTTTTAATTTTGATGAACGGTGTTTCCTTGTTACTAAAAATAGAAATTTCTGTGAAATTCATTCAAAATGCTACTCCTCCTACAGTTTTGGTCTGATTTCAATATAACTTAGCACACAAGTAGACTACACTAAGATACGTAATTCTGTATATTGGTTTTTAATTTCGATGAACGGTATTGCCATGGTAACTAAAAATAGAAATTTCTGTTAAAAAATCTCAAAATGCTACTCCTCCTGCAGTTTAAGTCTGATTATAATATAATGTGGCATGCAAGTAGACTATACTAAGAACATAAAGAGACTTAATCAAGGATCATTATTCTTTTTATTGCTGTGGTAAAGTTTCAATTCCCAACTTCTTAAGAACTTTTCTCTTCCTTTGCTATAAGTACAAACCAGTAGAGCTTCAGTCTCGACAGAGACTTCTGGTTATGCAAAGTTATTATGTTCATGAATTTCATTATTATTATTATTGTAGAAGGTTGCCTTCTACAGTTTTTAGGATAGAAAGTTTTTACAATTTATGTGATAAATACCAGTTCTGTTCAAACAAAAAAGTCACATTGACAGCTTTTCACTACATGTATTTTTTTTTTGTCATCATTGGAGTATAGATTCTTCAGCATGTAACACAACACTAGAAAAGTGTAACAACCAGGGAAGATGCATTGTTCAGAACCATGAAGCAGTATGTATTTGTGATGAAGGTAATGTACTAAACAGTATTTATAGCTAGTTTAGCTCTTTTGAGCTTCTTTCTCTAGTTGACCTCTAAAACTCAAGTGCCAGCTGGCTTCTAATAAAAAAAAGTCCCCAATTAATGCAAATTTTTTGCAGTTTAGTCATCAGGCAATTTTTATGCCCCCCTTCGAAGAAGGGAGGGCATATTGCTTTGCTGCTGTCCGTCGGTCGGTCAGTTGGTCTGTCGGTCTACTTAGTTTCCGTTCATTTTCTTCGCAACTGTTGCACATACTGAAATGAAATTTGGTATACAGATTATATCACATGAATATCTAGGTCAAGTTCTGTTTTGGGTATGATTCTCACCATTTTTGACAGATTTATACCCCTTGGACTTCGACAAATTTCAATTAGGCCATACCAATTTCTAATATAGTTCGTCAGATTCGCCGCTTCTATTTTTAACAAATCCAAATTATAATATTAAAAAAATAAATTTCGCACGCGCGTCCGAAAATATCCGAATAAATTTTTTTTCTCGACTTTTTACACAAAACGCATAAAAAGACTTGGAAATTTGTATGACAGAAGCGCGGGATCTGTTTAGTTTGTTTGTACTTTGTAGCAGTCTGTTAAGTTTTGCAAGACGCCCGTGTAACTGTGTATATGTACCAGGGGTTAGCAATTAGCATATTCAAACAACCGGGGCTACCATTTTTGGGGATCGGGCTAGTTGTTTTCTGCAAGGAGGTAGCCCGTCGGGCTAGTAAAAAACATAACTACACAAGCAATGCAACAATGACAAGAACAATCGGTATTTTCACTTGTATTTGTTATAAAATTCCCAACCAGTTAAAATTTTCTAGACAACATGCTCCTATTGTCAATAAATCTCCATAATCTTATCTGTTTTGTACTTCTATCTGACTTAATTACTTCCAAAAACGATCGTTTTTTCCTAATCCGAATTTCCTCTATTCCTCCATTTATGGTAAATACATGCAGATATCTCATTAAATTATTTACGATTATCCAATGAACTAAAAGATAAGTGTTTTGTGACTCACATAAAATATATTTCCAGTGTATTTATTGATTTAAGATGAAAACAAAATAAATTTGATGTTATTCTAAATGAGCTAGTGCAATGATCAAGAAAAAGGGAAGATAATATTCATTTAAATTATTTTTTTTTTCATAATAATTTATGCATGATAAAGATTGATAGTGAGAACTTTTAACTTTAATTTTAAAAAGAATGACCCCAGTAGCCTGACTTTCTCAGCAATTAATTTCTTCTCCAGATTAGTATTTATTAGCCGGGCTCATTGCTCGTAGAGCAATGCCCGGCTATTGCGACGGTGAGCAGCAGAAAATGCTGCTTCTTCACCGCCAAATTGAGTGTACGAGTGAAAATATAGTACGTACGCCCAGTCGCTGTTGAGAAAACAAAATCCATTCAAACACCTTAAGAAATAGTAAATCGAATATTTTTATCAAAATATTAAATTGTTTAATATTTTTAATATTTTTCCTGGCTCCTTTGACTAATATTTTACAAAGCAATTCAAAAGGTGCGAAAGGTTTTCATCAGGTATCCCTGTCTGCGTCATATTCTATAAATAAAGGTTGTACTATCTGGCTAACACAAATGCAGGGAACATCATTAATGACTTGATGCAAAACTCCCCGCTGCGGACACATCAGTGCATAGTCGTTTGACCTTAATTAATCTTGCTGCATCGGTGTTTATTTACTTCCGTTTGTATATAAAACCCCGAAACGATACATGTGATAAATATTTTACGCTGTTAATTTCTAGCTATATTTTATTTAATTTTTAAAACTTTTTAATACCTTACATGCCATATTTTTGTGTGTAACATATCCTCCCAAACAGAAAAAACAGCCTATGGGATCATGCTAACGACTCATGTGTAAACCATGGTTTTGATATGATTTCGGTATAGGAAAATTTCACATGCAAATGAGGTAATGGATCATGGTTCTGAGATGATCTGTTAAACTAAACAACTAGTAAGAAAACCATGATCCTGGTATGATCTGTTGTAGCTAACAACTCGTATTAAAACCATGATCCCGGAATGATCTATTGTAGCTAACAACTCGTATTAAAACCATGATCCCGGAATGATCTATCTTAGTTAACAACTCGTATTAAAACCATGATCCTGGTATGATCTGTTGTAGCTAACAACTCGTATTAAAACCATGATCCTGGTATGATCTGTTGTAGCTAACAACTCGTTTCAAAATCATGATCCTGGTATGATCTGTTAAACATGTTAAAGTTAACAACTCATAGGAAAATTCTACTTCTGATACAATTTTACTAAACACTTTGATATTTGCAATAAAATCCTTTTAATATTTGATATATAATTTCAGTTACCAAAAATTAAAAAAAAAAATTATACACATGTCACATGAACCATGACGTCATATATATATATATAATCCCAACAAATAATCTTCCTTATAATCAGATGACAATTTAAATATAAAACGTTATCCAAACTATTCACTGAATTTTATAAGAACAGAATCACAGAAATCCATTCTTCTTAAAGAATAATCCAGCACTCATTGAAATCACTGCTTATTTACGATTCTGCAAAAGCATATTGCAACATTTGTTCACTATAGAATCAGCAGAGTGGTGGATCTATTATTCAGAATCACAAACACTGAAAAGGCTCCCAATTAGGTAGTCTATCCTCTGATATAAGCTCTCTATTTGTGTAACACCCTGAAAAGAAACGTAGAGAAAATGGTATTTATTTATAGATCAACATAATTATCATTGTCTTTAGATCATGAAAATATGAAAAATTCAAGTACTTTCTCTATTTCATCATGTTCATTAATGAAAAGAATTAGATTAATCACTAAAAGAATAATATTGTTAAAATGTAATATGTATGTACACAAATTCTGTCTTCACCAAAGGCGGGTCTTTCGAATGTGGTAATTTGAATGCAACTCAGATGTTAATCATGAAGATGGAACTGACAGTAGCTGCAAAAGAATTTCATTTTTATAAATAAACATTTTATATAATGATTAACATTACAAATGTACATGTACAACAAATATTTGAATCAAGGAGGCCAATTTGATGCTTAAATAATTAAGTTTTCAATTCAAATCTATGTAAAACTTTGTTAAAATGTCTCTTCTATACACATGCATATACATGTAATGAAAAATTAAATCATGCACTATAGCTGGTAGAAGCTAGAAATTAAAAAAAAAAACAATAATAAAATTAATCAATTATACTCACCGAGTAGAGTTAATAGTCCAGCACTTATGTTTATTGCTTATATGATGCAAAGTCTTTTCTTTTAAATCGGCAACAAGAAAACGTGCACATTTTGTTCATCAGAATTCAAATTCTGACCTAGATAAGCTGTAAACCACTATACTACAGCGTGCTGCCCGGCAGGAGAATTGCATAACAAGGTTACTATGACTCTGAAACTGACCAGTGAGCCAATCCTAATCTGATGCCTCAAAGTTACATTGGGAGTGGATCACAAATATTATATGGAGAGCTGTGTTATTTAAACAGTATACTTGTGTGCTAATTTATGTAGTAGTTACCCCATATCATACTGTTGGTTATGTGTAGATACCCGATGGGCGTGGTCATAATGACACGAGGGAGCGTAGCTCCCGAGTTGTCATTATGACCACGCCCATCGGGTATCTACACATAATCAACAGTGTGATATGGGGTAAATGACTTGTACCATAGTTTTCAAAAATCATTCATATGTAAGTCAGCTTAGGAATAGGTCGGACTGGTTTGCGTGATTAAAGTTAAATAGATTGTTGGATGCATTTGGATTTTATATGATTTTACGCTCCTTCGTGTCCTTCTGACCACGTCCATCGTATATAGGGTAAGTGATTTGTATACAATACTTTTCAAATTTTGCTACAAATTTTGCCCTATACATGTACTCGGCACTCAGGGTCATTGAGCAGTGAGGGATCTTCCTGTCAACACCTTCTGCGACACGGGAACTCTGTTTATACTTTATAGGTCTCCACGTCCCACAAGGGGATTCAACTCCTTACTTTGTGACTCTAGGGCAGGTGCTTTAAACACTGGGCCTAGCAAGCAAGATAAAAATTAAACATATCTAGGCCCGTTTAAAAAGTTTGATTTATATAATTGAAAAAAAAAATAACGAGTTTGGTTTCAATGATATATGTTAATTTGATATGATTTTTTTCTCGTAAATTTCAATCGTCAAAATTACATACTAGTAATTTAAATTTATTATGAACTTGGTTTAACTTAAATTTTTGTAAACCTGATACAAACTTTGCCGTGCACAGTGGTACGTTGATTGAAATGTTTGATAGGGGTTATTTATATTTCAATTTGATAAAAATTAGATCTTTAATGGGCTAGATCTGCAATCGAAAAGGTTATTTAAGGACAGTAATGTACACTTGCTTTTACGTCAAGTATGTACCGTGTTTCCTTTGTTGGTTATCAAAAGAACGATATATTGTTGAAATCTACTAAGCTAACGTCACCCTGGTCATTACACTATTTAAAAAATGTTTTAAAAAATCAAGCGATTTCTGAAGCTTTTTTTTTCTTCACTTTTAACTAAAGTTAAAGTATTAATGGCCGTTTTTAACTGTTATTTATTACAAAATGCTGTATACAATTGAAAATTTTTACTCCTTTTTTCTCTCCTAAATTTGGTACAATTGTTTCATTTAAAAACCGTGCATGGTCGTTTTATAAACAGCTCTTTTGTCCCGACTCGATGGGCGGAGTTATAGAAAAGTGTGGGTTATGTACAGAAAACCCACACTTTTAACAAAAGAAATCACACCTAACTATGGTACAATTATGAATTATTGTATTAATTTATTTATTTGCAATTTCATTCAACAAAAGAAAAATAATTGTCTTTGTAACTACCAGTATACGCTGTCTGCATTTAAATTATTAAACTTAATTTTCCTGTTCTCTTTAAATTTTAAATATGGCTATTATTGATATATGCATGTTGTTTGATTCTCCAAGCTAGAGTGAATTTAAAGCTTGCATTTTCACCTATCATAGATGACAAAGTTAACAAACCATATCAGGATCATACAACCAATTCTGACAAAGTTAACAGATCATATAAAACTCATGATTCTCAAAAGAGAAGTTAACAGATCATGTGTAACTCGTATGGAGTTTAAAGACAAAGTTAAGAAACCATATCAAAATCACAAACTTTTAGCAGTTAAAGTTAACGAATCATTTCAAACTCATGTTCCCTTGTTTTGTAAGTTAAAGGCACATGCCAGAATCGCAAGAAAATCACAGCAAACCCATACCCAAGAAACAAACCACATCAGGATCATACTTCCTTATTTGTCATCTATGATTTCAGTATGATCCATTTAATGGATCAGGTTTAAATCATAGTTAAAAACCATGAATTCGTGAGTTTGATATGATTTGTATGTGATTTTGGCATGATTTGTTAAGAAAAGTTTTTGTTTGGGGCTCTAAACGTCTGAACTTGATTTAAAACTGTCACCACGGTCTTTGTTCATTACCCTGTAAATGAGCCCGGCTTTCAGTACTTCTGAGTACTTTGATTTTAATTTTTGCCCCTCTGTTTGGGTTAGTAACTTTTTACTAGGGGCTATTAACTTGAAAGCTGCCACTAGCCCGTGCAAGAGTACTTTATTTTTTCCTCAATTGCACACTCCTGTGTACTATAGAAGAACTTAGAGATTTTTGCCACTAATATTAATTATATTTGCTCGCCTCATAATTTTGAAAACTGAAATAAAAAAATTAATATTTGTAAAATGATTTCGCTCGCTTGCCTCTCTTTTTCTTTTTGAAAATCCGAAGAACTATGTTACAAATTGGTGTGGCCTTATTTGCAGTTTCCATTTATTTTCTTTGCAACCGTTGCCTACACTGAAATGAAATTAAGCGTAAAGATTTATCAGAGGTATATCTAGGTCAAGTTCTGTTTTTGGGGTATGATCGCACCATTTTTGACAGGGTTATGTCCCTTGGACTTAGAAAAATTCCAAATTATTTGCAGTTTCCCTTCATTTTCTTTGCAGAGGTCACACATACTGAGATGAAATTTGGTATACAGATTTATCAGATACATATCTTGGTCAAGAACTGTTTTGGGTACAATCACGCTGTTTTTGACAGAGTTAGGCCCTTTTGGACTTAGAAAAATTCCAGTTTGGGGGTAGGGGAGCATAAGTGTTTTACATGCAAACATCTTTTTTTTTCTTTGGTGCCAGTTTAAATATTGGACTCATTGAATTAGACCCAGGAAGGGAAGGGAGTCTATTACAATTGTAAAAATTCTTTTCTCCTCTTCAAAAAAAAAGTATTAAAAAAAATATAAAGTTTAGGAATTCAATGATTGCCAACTTAATTTTAACTGGTTGCCAATTTGGCGACCTGTAGAGAATTTTTAGGCGACAATCAAAATTTTTAGCCACAATGGTGACTATAAATTAGTGGCCAATTAGAGCCTCAATAATGCTATGGCTATTTGTGTGATATGTGTAAACTTTTCAGAATATGAACCATATTTCAAGAACTCCTTTTTTAGTCAAACATGTCACAAAATATCATTCGCAAGTGAGTTAAGGCTACGTGTAGTCGTTCCTATGCATAAAATCTAATTAAAAACATAAAGGCTATACCTATCACACAGAAAAAGTTAAAAAACTTGCTTTCTAATAAATTCTTGGTACCCACAAAATGCAAAATTTTTACACCTAAAATCTGTGTAATTGTTATGTTTTCTGAACAGGTTATAATGGTACATCATGTAAGACAACTCTTGATATTTGCCAATCCAATCCCTGTTTTAATGGAGGAACCTGTGTTCCACATGATGATGGATTTAACTGTACTTGTCCCTCATGTAAGTCGAGTATTAAAATTTTTTTTGTTTTTCATTATCAAATCTTTTTAATATTTTGAACAATTTTAAAATTATTTTGAATTCATATGCATTCAGTTGATAAAAATGTAGGGAAAAGAAATGTCTTTAAACATAATGATTGATTCTGTATTATTTGATTTATAGTGAGTAATTGCACGATGCAAGCAAAGCCAGGAAGTTTTGTTGTTGCTGATGATAAAAGTACATCGAAAGGAAAGAAAAGTCTAGATTTATGTAAAGAAGATTGTCTTCAAGATGTACAATGCAAAGCTTTATTTCATACCAATGGTTTCTGCTATATCATTAGACAAGATGCTACTCCAGAGCCCTACACAATTGATACTGCTTTGTACTTCTCCAAATCTTGTCTCTTCAAATACTGTAAGTACTGTTTATGTTCAGTCTTTATGGTGATGTAATTGAAGATTCAGGGATATACAGTGTTTGGTCATTTTGTTCATTGGCTAAAACTTTAATCTTAGCCTTAACCAAAAAAGTGCTAGAGCTTTTCCTTTTTCACATGTGTATTCCTTTTTACAAGACATTTCTTTAATCCAGGCAACGAAATTCCAGGGAAATACTCGCTAAATGCGAGTTGAAAATCAAAATCGCCAGTTCAAAATCACCAGTGGTCGCAATTTTTTGCGAGTAAAAAAATTGATCTTTTTCCGGATATTTCGTGTTTATTCGTTGCCTTTTGAAGTTTACTTTTGATCTTATGCTTAGAGACTCTTTATTGAATGAGTATCAAGACGCGTTGCAAAGTACATGCATAGCCATGGATCGAAAGGCCAAGGCATCTTGATGCATGATCAATCATGCATTTGCTAAATAAATATTTTAAACCTAATAAGCGCACTTCCGAATCCCAGTCAGCTGTTTCAGATGTAAACAATAATGACCTCGTCCATGTTAACTCAACACAGGAAGGTGTTAGCGTCACTGCTTCTGTCAAAACCATTAGAAAATGGGAACGTGAGTTTCACATTTCAGTCTTCGCCAAATTTTTTTTTCAGCACATGCCCTTCGGGCAGGTGTGATCACCAATTACACAAGCCCGAACAAAAATTTACATGCCCAGAATTTTATTAAGTTATAATATTATTCTTATTTGCCTTTTCATGCCAAGGAAATGATCTAAAATCCAGTCTGTCAATTTATAGTCTCGCTATTTGTTTTCAACCTGTACAATTTTTGTGTCTCCTTTGCAGAAGAGTTCCTTGGAAATTGCGGTAATATAAGATTTCAGTTAAATCCGGGACCTATATACTTGTCCCTGGTTAAATTTTATTTTGAACTTTACTTTAGAGGGAAAATAAAAGACTTTAAAGTACATTATTAGTTACACAGTCAGTTAGTGACCTAATACGGATTCATACAGGGTGTGAAATGGAAATCCGTATTGGGCGAGGCGAAGCCGAGTCCCAATACGGATTTCCATTTCACACCCTGTATGAATCCGTATTAGGTCACTAACTGACTGTGTTACGAATTTATCCCGCTGAAGACCTTTTTCGATATAAAAAAATATTTGTGCATATTATGAAAAAATTAAGTTTTAATCCATGCAATAACAATCAACATAAAATATCGTCAGGGTAACAAGAAATTTTACTAAAGTACCTACGTAAACCGTTTCTTAGCCCCCATTTTTTATTTACAATAACAATGCTGTGAACGGAATCGCGTGCCCGATTTTTAATACACCCCCTGCTCGGAGACGAAATATTGAAAATTTCAGGGCGTCATGTGATGAGCTCTCATCCAATCAATTGTCTACAAATTTGTCTGAAGCGGGATAATTAGTGTTATTGGTCTTATTTAATTTTATTATACCAAGGCTTATGCTTTAGAATTTAAATGCCCTTCAGGCGTGTAAGTGTGCAACTTCCACATGCCCGCTTCCAATTTTACCAGGTCCCGGGCATCGGACTCCCGGGATTTGTCGAAGACTGACATTTCACTAGACTTCATTGCCATGGACCAAATTGTCTCAACTATATGTGTGTATGGGTGTATATAGTGTATCATTCATTTCTTTGATGTATAGATTAAGTGTAACTTGTCTACCAAGTCATATTCTTGAATTTGATGCATGTTATATATTCTTACAAAAACATTAAGAATAATATGAAAATTCAAAATGCAGGCACATACTAAGTGTTCCCTGTCAAAACAAAAACAAAAGGAGAGGTATGACTGTATCTTTAATTTTGAAAAAAGTAAAATTTGAAAATTGCTAGTAAGAATTTAATTTTGCTAGTAGGAAAAAAAGTCACTAGCTAAAATTTGCTAGTGGTTAAAAAGTTAATTTCGATCCCTGTAATCATCAAGAATTATTACCTTATATAACCTCAATCTTCAAGTTTGATTTACTCGTTTAAAGCCGCTTAACCCGAAACAGGGCATGCATATTATCATACACAAAAAAGTACGTCATTACATAGAAAATATGTAGAAATAAATTATAAGATTGATTTAATAGTTTATTACAACGATCATTACAAGGAAAACGCTGATTGAAAACCTTATTGACAAACAGAAGTTTCTGACAGGAAGTTATGAATATTTAAATGAAGAAGACCACGTGACTTCCGATAAGCAAACATGGATTTCGAGGTGAGAAACACGTGAAAATTACCTTGTGGCAGTTTGTGTTATTTGCTCGTAGTTTTGTACTATGACACGTTTAAAAATGTTAGAATGTTTATATAGTTCAGAGATAAACGTCTGAAAAGATATAACAATAAGTAATATTTCTTATTAGTGCCAATTTCGGAATTTGATGTGAACGCGCGAAATAACAGGGGGGCTCTCAACAGCTCAAGGGAAAATTATTATATTTGTGTTTTTTTTATGTTTGTTTTAAATGTCTATTACGATAATGAACATTATTGAACATTTATCAAAAATATATATACTTCAGTCATCATCTTCAACTACGGAGGATTCCCCTATACGCAGAGGAAGGAGAGGAAGGGGGCGTGGGCAGCGGGGTACAGTACGTAGAGGATCTGGTCGAGCCCTACAGGGAAGAAGAGGGAGAGGGCAATATGCAGAGAGGAGAGATGTTGTGGCCCTTCAATTAACTCGTGACAGAGTCACTGTAGCAAAGGTATATATTACTCCAATGTATAAATTATGCAAAGCATTTCTCAGGGTATTTTAATTTTATTTTTATGCATTCAAAAAATTCCTGTTTTTTTTCTTTTATAATCAGAGGCATGTCCACAGCTTGAATCTTGAGCAGTGCAGAGATATGCTTGTGCATATAGCATCAAGATCAGCAAGTCTCATTCTTGATATTGTTGACCAAGTTCATCCAAGACCAGCTATACCTCCACAGCCATCCTTACCCGGAGTACCATCTTGGTGCACATGCAGCAGATGTAGGGAGATGCCTACCCTAATGGAGAGAGTCTCTTGCGGAAGATGCCCAGAGCAGTGCACTACTCTTCTGCCAGTATGGTTTCATTTATTTATTTTTTACTCCAATAACAATTAAATATCAAGTGTTAATTGTAAAATAGATGTCAAGGTTATCTGTTTATATTTATTTTAACTATTTTTATTTGTATATATTTATTTTAACCACTTGTTAAGCCTTAATTGATAAATTCATGCAAGTTAAATTTTTCTCAGGATTTTCATGTCCTCTGTTTGGATGAGGCAGTCCTTGCACTGGCGCGCCTCTACCGTGAAGATGTGTTGGCCCTGCCAACAGACGAGGACTACAACAGGGCAAATAGGCATTCGGCATATCGTCAGTATATTTTATGGAGTTATGGAAAACTTGGTTCAGGGAACAGGAAAGTGATCCCTAGCTGCATTATCTGGAGGATTCGAGACAAGTATCCGGAAGCATCTGGACAATATACCGGATTCATGCCTGCAAGACTCACTTAATATACAAACTAAACTCTAATATCCCTATAAATAAAGTTTGTTTTGTCATAATCTTGAATATGTAGTTGTCATATTTTCATATAAACTGAAATTGTAATTTTCCTATGAAATTGAAAGACACATTGAAGTCTAGAGGAATCTGTTGCTAAAAAAGTGAGAATAGTAAAGTAAAATGAGAGACCCATGGCTCTTTATGGTCACCTGAGTATAATTCTATAAGGGATCCATGGAAATTCTACTACATAAGAGGACTATTTAAAGAATTTGTTACTCCATGACCATGAAGTTCATAAATTAGTTAATAAAGTTATCCATAATGCTTTTTATTAAAATTAGTATTACTACCAATTAGTTTTGGTAAGAATTCAGTCATATATGCTTTAAATCATAATTAAGTAGAATTCATTCAGCAATTCAGAAAAGGTTGAAAAGTGTATGAAGGATGATGGACCAAGAAAAGGTAGCTATATAGGTCAACTGAGCGATTCCATTGACATACTATTAGAAATGGAGGTGATGCTAATAAACAGAATATAAGCCTTTAATAGCTGCATTTTTAAGTCAATTTAATGCACTACTAAGTTATTTGAGTTGAAAATCTCCCTTAAGATACAATTGATCTTTCAGCATGATTTTCATCCTTTATACATGGAATACATTACTATAAGCCTTTCATTAATCATATTATCATAATGGAGGTAAAGAATCCTGCCCACTGAAATTATCACAATCAAATCATGGGTCTTTTTATGTCTCCTAAAAAAAAGTTTTGCCCTTTCCGTCTAACTGTCTGAATGTCAGCAAAAAATTGAACATTGCCATAAATTTTGATTGGTAAGAACTATGACTTTCAAATGTCACATATGTACTCATTATGACAAGGCCATCCTTTGGTTACCAACATACTTGACCTTGGAGTTTGACCCACACTTTAAAGAGTTCAACTTCTGTCATAACTTTCAAATGATTGGTGCTTGGGCTTCCATACTGCACAGGTACATGTATATGATTATTGAGACAAGTCCTTTTGGGGGGTAATAACATTTTATTTCTCTTGACTTTTGAGTTGAACTTGCATTTGAGAAACTTTAATCTTTGCCAAAAGCTGCAATGTGGAGGCATCAGTGTTTCACAAACACATTTTGCTCTATAATGAGAAGAAACATGGAAATAACTAATTTCAATTTTACATTCATGCATGACAGGACCTTTTTTCAGCATTAACTTATAGGTTAAACTTCAGTGACCTTAAACATACTCCAATTTTAAGTTTAATAAAGTATATTGACAAGAAATGGCAATTTAATGTACTTGAAGACTTTTACCCTACAAAATATTGAGAGTTTGGGAGTAGCTAAAACCTTTGCTATATCATCGGTGGGCTCCATCCCCTCCCTTCTCATTTAAATCTATGAACTGCCACTGATCTTTGCAATTTTTTTTTTTTACAAATTCCTTGGAAATACATACAAGATTAAGACCACAAATACAACAACTAAATTTTATATGCTGTAATGGATGCAACTTAGAAACATTATGTTCAATGATGCACTGCTACATGCCAGAAACTTCGAAATATATTAAGATTTCATAATAAAATCTGTTATCCCTCACTTAAAGTTCAAATCTGACATATTCTTAAATATACTGATAAGAAAATGTAGTTTACAGTTCATCTCCAAAGCAGATATTATGACTACATTTAACAAAAGATATAACACTTTTAATAAAAATGCTACAAATTAAAAAAAACTCTTCATGCTAATGCTTGACAACATTTAGCATCATTTACATATGTACAAGTGTTAAGAAGACTTAGGCATCATTTACATCCTTTTGATAAGCATCGCATAATTTACAGTCAAGTAGCAGAAATGTTCCCAATACACAACCTTAGTTTTTTTCCTATGATCACGCAGTCCATATGCAAAGAAGTTAGTGGAAATAAATGAGTAGCAATGCAAAAAAGATCAAAAAAAAAAAAAAAAAAGAAAAATGTACAATTCAGACATGCCTCATTTGGATATCAGTGTTTCAACCATACAAAGAAATACTTGTGTATAAATACATGGAAATACATGGAATGTACAAATTTACAGAGATTATTGCAAGAAATCTTTATTCAAATCTGGACTTTTTCTGAAGTGCAATCTCTACTGTTGGTGGTGGCGACTTTGGGGCAATGACCCGAGAAATTCTCCTGGGGTCTCTCTCTGCAAGTTCCGCTGGATGATGCATGCCTCTCTCTAACTCAAAACGCTTTCGCAGAACTTTCAGAAAGATGTCATTAATATGACTGTAAGTCTTCTTCACCTTCCGCTCAAAAACTGTCCATCTCCCCGACTTCTTTGAGTAGGTTCTGAAATATCTGAATTAGAATGCAACTAGAATTTATTCATGAGCTAATAATCAAATTAGAGCAGAAATATTCAAATGGGGAAATAAATGTTTACCTAGGTGCACCATCTTTATGGGTTGCTGTGGGCAAATCAACTGCATAATTGTAGTCCAATGCTGCCAAAATATTCCTGGCTCTGTACACTGGGGGTGAATAAGAAATTCTCTTGGAAGCATACATGAGAATGTGATTGTTGAAGATCTCCAAATCTGCTGTATTCCTTTAAAAGAAGATTATGGATCATAAATTTGGCAGTTGAAGTGTATGCTGCTTGTAAAACTTGTTTAAATTTCATAAATTTATACCTAAAATTAAGGTAATAGTGGTTGTTGTTGAGGAATCGCTTGTCTAGGACATTCTTGGTCAATGCAGAGTGTGCAGGACTTCCTTTCTCAATCCAAGACTTGTCTCTGTCATCATTCAGTTCCTCATGGTAACAAGCACCTGGTGCCATCCTTCCATAGGATAATCCCCATTCATGTTCATTTTGGACATGATGGAGCACTCCAACCCATACATCCTGTAAAATTAAATATCCATGTATTAAGTCATAAAAAAAGTGCATTAGCTAGGGACAGATTTTAAACTATGGTACATGTATTTATGGATTTTTGAGAACAAGGATTAAGATATATTTGACTGCAGTTACCATAAACTATTAAACTTTAATAAAAAGATCCAACAACCCATTACACAAGAGATGTCCACTGTTGTCATCTATTTCTTTAAATGTTAATGGAAAACACTTACCAGAAATTCTTCATATGTGCTTGCAACTTTGCAGCAATGCCAAAAATGGTTCACAATATCTGTACTCCACTGTAAAAGTTCCTTACAACTCTTTTCTTGACCAGCCTACAATATTGGAAGTGATGCATAAGAAAAAATATGATAATAAAATGATAATATTACCTTGCTGTTTTATTTTAAACTGAAACATGTGAAAATATTACATCTTGCTGATTCAGAAGATAATTACCGCAATGATTTTCTTCCCTAGGTTCTTGGCTGCGTGCCATATATCATGGGAGTGTTTGATATGAGAGTACTGGCGTTCTGTAGATGAAAATATAGTATATTCAAAGTGCATAATCAAATACATCATATTTTACGACATACTATTAATTATTTAGCTTGCTACATGTTTTCTATTGTGATATTCATTGTAAAATACAAAACCCTAAAGGAGCTTACTCATTAGTGCACCAATCTGTAAATGTGCATCAGTCACCACCTCTTTTACATTCAAACTGCTTTGCACATCATCAAGTGCCCTCTGGAAACCCGACTTCTCCATACTTGTACTTTTTTTCCCAGTCTCTTGCTTGTCTAAAGTTTCCAAAGCCACAATCTTCTTTGAATCCATCTCTATCATTGTGTATGTGCAGTACTGAGCACAATGTCCTTGGCTGTCCATGCGCCCATCTCCTGTACAATGAAATTACATTCATAGAAAATAACCACTTAAAATGCATAAACATGTTCTAATGTTTAAGTGTAAAATAAAAAAATTGACCTACCCAGCACCACAATATCTCTGTTGACAAGCTCATTGCGTACAATTTCTTGGTGTTCCTCCCACTTTTCCTCGATTGCAGGAACAAGGTATGTCCGCTGTATGCGTGTGAAGGCAGACTGGCTTGGAAGATGTAGATTCATTATTCTACCCATCAGTTCTACCTTACTAAAATTGTTCCCAGAGCACAGAACTGCCACTGACACAACCAGGTCCCCACTGTGTAGACCTCTATTTAGCACTGGCTGGGAGCACCATCTGTGTTTAATATGTTTGTTGGAACATGACTGTAGAAATAGAAAGAAATTTATAAATCAAGTTTTCCTTTGAAACAATTTCAATGATCATGTACTACAGAACTTTGTTCCACATAGCATACAGGTCTTAAAAATGGATACCTATAGACCGTTTTTAGTACCGGCAATCCTCGTTGTCAATGTATATATGCTTTGCAAAAATAATCTTAACCATTAATATTATTTCACATATGTAGTGAAGTACATGTATGTGTATATCATTAAGGCTATCTCAAATAAGTATATATTAGGTATGAAAATTTAATTGGATGCCAAAATTGTTAAATAATTAAGATTGCTGCAAAAGCACTTACCCAAACAATGTCAATGCAGATCCAACACACTTCGTAGAAATTACAACTTGCTCAGAACATCCCTTCACTAAACAACTATCATCAATCTTTGTTTTGGCCAACATGAGGAGTTGATCTTCATATGCTACAAATTTTTCTGCCTTGAAAACTTGATCGAAACCCTCCATTGTCAAAACTTGGACGATTCCTGGACCAGAGTAGTATTCGGATGTCTTGTCCTCCGTCTCAGGCTCCTCAAATCCATACACCATGTCTCACCCAGCTATATCTTCGATATCAGAGCATCCTTCATCACTGGAATCAGAAAGATTACCAAAATATTATACTCTTTTATAGTTGCAAACAATAATATAACTGTACATTCTTCTATTAAAAGGTCATATGAAATCTCAGCTCATTCTCTGATTTTAGTTCCACTCATCTTAAGCTTAGTTACTGGTAACATACCCTAGAGTCAAATCATAATCTGGCACATAATCGTCATCAAGTGCTTCTTCCTCTTCATCATCTGAGTCTTGTGTAAGACTGATACTTAAACTATATTAAAACAAAGAAAACTTTTTTCCATCATTGTCTTACATTGGTTATAATGTTCAATTGAGTTACTTATGCTCTGCAGCTGTTATTCCAAATAAAATTTTGACCAGAATTTTTCTTTCCTTAACCGTAAAAACATATACATCCGTAAAACTCGTTTCAAACATTTTTCAAACTGCTTCATGCTTTATTTCCTATTACCTAAATGGGTCAAGAAATGATGTTGAAAATGTCTTCTTCATGGCAGCCCTGCTAGCCCCGCTGAGTGGGATGTTGACTTGTATTAGGATGGTTCATGGAAGAAGGAAGATCAACTCCAGACTCTGCTGTCTCCGTAGTACTACAAATATCCCATGATGACTTGAAATTATTGTTACCTCAACCCACTCTCTTTTTCACAGCATAGCATACCCCCACCCCCACAAATGCATCTGTACTCATGAACATGCAAGTATACTATAGTCTGATTTTGTTGCAGTTGAAAATATGCAAGTCAATATCACAGTATTGCACATTATAATAAGAAATGGTAAATTTAAAGTGAACAGGTCTGTTTGTTTTGATTACCGTACATCTCTAAGACTCATTTCAAACATTTTTTAAACTGCTTCATGCTTTATTTACTATTATGTACCTAAATGGGTCAAGAAATGGTTTTGAAAATGTCTTCATCATGGCAGCCCTGCTAGTCCGCTGAGTGGGATGTTGACTTGTATTAGGATGGTTCATGGAAGAAGGAAGATCAACTCCAGACTCTGCTGTCTCCGTAGTACTACAAATATCCCATGATGACTTGAAATTATTGTTACCTCAACCCACTCTCTTATTTCACAGCATAGCATACCCCCCCCCCCCCACACACACACACACACACTCACACACAAAAAAGCATCTGTTCTCATTTACATGCAAGTATTCTATAGTCTTATTTTGTTAAAGATGAAAAAATGCGAGTTAACATCACAGTATCACACATTATTAATTAGAAATGGTACTTTAAAAAAAATTAGTTGGAAAATTAATAAACAGAATCTCCTACAAGTTAGAAAATCTACTTATTATAAATAAATCATATTATAAAACAATATATTTTTGCAAGAAAGTATGCCAAAAATATAAACTTAAACATTGAATTTTTGAAAAATATTATAACTGAAAGAATTCGAGTAAAAATTTTTCTTCTGTTAAAGAATTGTAAATGTGATAAATTTGACAGACACTGGCAGGAAATAGTTGAAAAACTTTCTTGCCACAAATTTGTGCCCCTCATCTTTCTCTCTCTCACTTTCCCTTCCTCTCTCTCCATCTCTCTACATAAACTTGCACACTAGTTTTGTTATTATATACCCCTTTTTTGCTTCATTTCAAACTGTGATGTAGATTTATTTACATACACTTTTGTCTGTATTTGTGTGAAAGTACAAATAAAAAAGAAAGAAAGAAATGGTATACTCCGTATACCTCTGTGTTGACCTGCTATATAAATTATGTAATATAATTGAAATCATGTATATTTATTATATATTCATTATATTATAAACCAATACGCCAGTTTCGAGATTGTAACTCTCCTACGATAGAGGCGCAAAAAGTACCCATTTCAGCATGGAGGTGGGAAAGGGCACTCTCTACCATCGGCTCATACATTCACCTCTGTCGTTGGCTCACGTATACACAGTGTTAAATGCGAGAAATAGTGCGTTTGTTTTAATTCATTACGATTCAATTTCTATGCTTATGTCTGAGTTTTGAGATAGATATTTACTAAATCAATTCAGAACTATTAATTTAAATTGAAACAATTCTTCACATATCACGTTTTATACGTTATGTCAAAAATCTTGACGTGAGCCCATTGCAGAGGTGTCTGAGAGAGAAACGAACGACGACTCTGCATGGGAGATTGGGGAAAGGGTTGTCTCTGTATACAAAAGTGCATTAATAAAAGAACGATATTTATGGCTTTTAGAATTAATTAAATGTTATAGAAAGATAATAATGTTAAGCAGTGATGCATTTGATGATTTTATCAAGCTCAACCATGGATATATATTTACAAATCTACTGTAAATTTTGGTACTTGAAAACGAAAGAAACGCCATAGTCTTTATAAAAGTAACCGATTTTCTTGATTGTACGTAGATTTTCTAAAAAATGAGTTTTTTAAAAAGTTATAATAAGGAAAAGGTTCAATATGTCATTTAGATTCCAGACGTGCAATGATCAGATACATGTGTATCGTATTTATTAGAGGTCCTTATCTCTTCTCTCGTCCGAAAAGTCTCACATCCACTGATATTTTCTTTTTTGTTTCGATATTTTTGCTTCAAAAATTATGCCTTTACTTTAATTCGGTTATTCTCAAGTTGCAGAGTGCATCCTGACAATCGTGTAGTTATGACAAACCTGTAAATCGATGATGCAATGTATCCAACATACACACAGTATCAAATATCTGTCCCACCTGTTTGTTTACGCGATAACGAAACTCCCCTCCTCAACAAAAGAGCGCACCAAGGGAGATAATCTCAAAACTTGCGTATTCCTGTTGAACTAAATTATAAAATTAAATACCTTCCAATCCCTTTCATGTCTGAAGAAATATCTGACACTATTAAGTCTGGAATTCTAGGAAGGAAAGACTTCACTGGAGTTGATGTTTTCCTGTCAGAGTGGTTGTAATGTTGCTTGCTATAATAGAAGTGACATATATTATATTTAAAAAATTCCAACTTTTATGAAATTGAAAAAAAAAATGTTCAAATCGAAAGATAATGCAATGCACATAAATTATATTTATTAACAATTATCAGTTTGAAGGGATCTGGCTTTCTATGACACCCAGCAAATTCTTTATCTAACGGTAATAATACTATTCTGCCCCCTTTGGGTGCCCCAATTTTGTTTTCGGCAATTTAAGAGCGAATTTTGCTCAGACACTTAACTTTTTGTTACACTTATAAATGAAATGTAATTTTCAATACTTTCTTTGTAATAAATACGCTTAAGATAGCCAAAAAAATATTTTGTATCCTGAAATGACAATCTCCACTTACTGATAACTGATGAGAAACCCCGCAAGTTCTGGGTTCGATTGAAGTCCAAGCGCTTCCCGCAGGTCATTCCATTCTTCTAAATGTTCTCCTATATTTATACGCTGACTTCCTTTCTTTTTTGCCAATTCGGATTTCTTCTTTTTCCGCTGAGAGTCTGTTAGAGATTTGGGTCGACCACGTTTTCGTGGGTTCTCCATAACGAAATATATTGTTTACAATGCTACTGCGCTTGCGCAAGCTTCGCATTCCCTTTATTTTTTGTGTGACCTAACAAAAATTATTTTTTTAACCTTTGAAATTTGATATCTTTTAAAAGAAAAAGACTTTGGGGATGTAATTTGACAAAAGTTGAAATAATTTATAGACAATTAGTTTTCAAGAAGAAAACGAATACATTTTTTGGCGTCTGGATTCGGACCAAGCGGCTTTAATGTTAATCAAACTTAAATGTGAACAGTGAGTGCTTGGGCTTTCTAACTTTACCTTTGTACTCCTTGTGTCAAGATCTTTCTTTGTTGATTTTTAGCTCTACTGGTCAGAGACCAGAAGAGCTTATGCGATAGTAATGCGTCCGTCCGTCTGTCTGTCCGTCTGTCTGTAAACAATCTTTCAAAATGCTACTCCTCCTACAGTTTTGGCCTGATTTCAATATAACTTAGCACACAAGTAGACTGCACTAAGATACATATTATATTAATTCTATATTTAGGTTTTTGATTTCGATTGGATGGTGTTGCCGTTGTAACTAAAAATAGAAATTTCTGTGAAATTCTTTCAAAATGCTACTCCTCCTACAGTTTTGGTCTGATTTCAATATAACTTAGCACACAAGTAGACCACACTAAGATACATATTTCTGTGTATCGGTTTTTGATTTCAATGAACGGTGTTGCTGTTGTTACTAAAAATAGAAATTTCTGTGAAATTCTTTCAAAATGCTACTTCTCCTACAGTTTTGGTCTGATTTCAATGTAACTTGGCACACAAGTAGACCACACTAAGATACATAATTCTGTGTATCGGTTTTTGATTTTGATGAACGGTGTTGCCATGGTTACTAAAAATAGAAATTTCTGTGAAATTCTTTCAAAATGCTACTTCCCCTACAGTTTTGGTTTGATTTCAATATAACTTGGCACACAAGTAGACTACAGTAGGATACATAATTCTGTATATCGGTTTTTGATTTCGATGAACGATGTTGCCGTGGTTACTAAAAATAGAAATTTCTGTGAAATTCTTTCAAAATGCTACTTCTCCTACAGTTTTGGTTTGATTTCAATATAACTTGGCAAACAAGTAGACCACACTAAGATACATAATTCTGTGTATCGGTTTTTGATTTCGATGAACGGTGTTGCCATGGTTACTAAAAATAGAAATTTCTGTGAAATTCTTTCAAAATGCTACTCCTCCTACAGTTTTGGTCTGATTTCAATATAACTTGGCACACAAGTAGACCACACTAAGATACATAATTCTGTGTATCGGTTTTTGATTTCGATGAACGGTGTTGCCATGGTTACTAAAAATAGAAATTTCTGTGAAATTCTTTCAAAATGCTACTTCTCCTACAGTTTTGGTTTGATTTCAATATAACTTGGCACACAAGTAGACTACAGTAGGATACATAATTCTGTGTATCGGTTTTTGATTTCGATGAACGGTGTTGCCGTGGTTACTAAAAATAGAAATTTCTGTGAAATTCTTTCAAAATGCTACTTCTCCTACAGTTTTGGTTTGATTTCAATATAACTTGGCAAACAAGTAGACTACACTAAGATACATATTTCTTTGTATCGGTTTTTGATTTCGATGAACGGTGTTGCCATGGTTACTAAAAATAGAAATTTCTGTGAAATTCTTTCAAAATGCTACTTCTCCTACAGTTTTGGTTTAATTTCAATATAACTTGGCACACAAGTAGACCATACTAAGATACATAATTCTGTGTATCGGTTTTTGATTTCGATTAACGGTGTTGCCGTTGTTACTAAAAATAGAAATTTCTGTGAAATTCTTTCAAAATGCTACTTCTCCTACAGTTTTGGTTTAATTTCAATATAACTTGGCACACAAGTAGACTACACTAAGATACATAATTCTGTGTATTGGTTTTTGATTTCGATGAACGGTGTTGCCATGGTTACTAAAAATAGAACTTTCTGTGAAATTCTTTCAAAATGCTACTCCTCCTACAGTTTTGGTCTGATTTCAATATAACTTGGCACACAAGTAGACTACGCTAAGATACATAATTCTTTATATCGTGTTTTGATTTCGATGAACGGTGTTGCCATGGTAACTAAAAATAGAAATTTCTGTTAAAAACTCTCAAAATGCTACTCCTTCTGCAGTTTAAGTCTGATTATAATATAATGTGGCATGCAAGTAGACTATACTAAGAACATAAAGAGACTTAATCAAGGATCATTATTCTTTTTATTGCTGTGGTAAAGTTTCAATTCCCAACTGCTTATTAAATAAGAACTTTTCCCTTCCATTGCTATAAGAACAAACCAGTAGAGCTTCAGTCTCGACAGAGACTTCTGGTTTTTTTACCTTTGAGGTTTGTCCATATCATAGATTTAGTATTCAGGGAATTTGAGATGTACGAGGGTTGTCCCAAAATTTCGTAGACTGAGCTCTTATCTTTTACAGGAATTTATGTATCTTAATAAAATTTTCAGGGTGGATAAAGCGTGTTCTTGGCAGATAAATTACGAAGTTTTATGATGTTTTCTTGAAAACTTTTCGAGTAATAACATTTAAAGTGATATCGTTCTCTACCACCCGGAGCAATCTGCAACGTCAAAAAATACAAATGTCAACAGTTCAAATTTTCGGAGAAAATATTTCAATTACCAGAATCTAATTCTTAAATTAAACGAAACGGTTAAAGTTATAAATGTGAAATATCCGAATTACTATGATATGATCAAACATTAAAATATGTAAACAAAGTATATGCATGAACAGGTATGAAATAATAATTTGAAAACGCTACATTTTCTACGGCTGTTCGTCTGTTTTCTCTAAGGGAGTAGCTCAATGCAACTCTTGCCCATTTCTTAACCCCGTCTTTTATTTAAGCTACTGTTATTTACATATACATAGAGAAACCGTTTTAATCATTTTAAATACTCAGGATGAGAAAAAGTTTCCTAGTCTACCAAACCGTTATGACCGGTACATTTTTGTAAGAGTGAATTCGGGATCAAAACACTTGATCATAGTCCATTGCGCCACCTGTGTCAACGCAGCCGCCATTTTTCAGAAAGTCGGATTTCAACCTCATGTATATAAAACGTTATAAAAATCATATTTATCAAAGCATAAACACCAAAATTTGGGGAAATGTAGTAATACAACAGTATTAAGAATTTTCATTTCCATTAAAAAAAATACAGAGTAGTACTTACGTTTCCGTAGGGTTTTAAATATAATATACCAAGTTTAAATCGCAACTCTTGAGTATTGCGCCGCCTTCCTACACCAGACAATAAAATGTGTCTTTTAAATTTTAATAATTTGTGTAGTTACTCCATATTTGTCCATAAATTTATTAGATAGTGTTGGTTTAATCTATGTACGAAGTTTCATTAATGTATGACATAGGGTTCCTACAAAACAACGCTTGTCTACGAAATTTTGGGACAACCTTCGTAGTGAAGATATTTGTAAATAGATATTGTATTATATCCCACCTGAGCCTTGGACCATCCAGAAACATTGATTCCTGGTCAAATTGTCCAGATAGCTAATACAAACAAAAGTAGAGATTTCCAGTTAATTTATGAAAGATTATTTCTTCTCATATTGACCATTACCAAGGATTAAGATAGTCTGTTAAAATAATAGATAATATTTATCGTTAGTTTTATTTATGAATAAAGCATTGTAATGAATTGCAGGTTTTGGAAGATCACCTTCCAGGCAAAGGACAAGATAGGGTAGCAGCCGAATCTGGCCCCTTATTTGATATAAAAATCAGAACACTGGTAAAACTGTGATAGTTTGTAGTTAAGAAGTTAAAATGATGCTTACTTCAAGACAAGCACTGATTTTGATTCAAAGCCTACATGGCAGCCACTAGAGGGTGCAGAAGTAAGACATTTTCCCGAATTTCCTCAATTCTGGTGGAATTTCATCATATTTGGGATACATTTCTCTTCGGAAAACATAGAGCACACGCTTGCCTATCTGAGATTTTTACATATATACTGCATCTGATATCAGTGTATAAAATATATAAATTTAGTAGATAGGCAAGCGTGTGCTCTATGTTTTCCAAAAGAAAATGTGCTGTAAAATTAGTGAAAAATTGCATAAAAATGAGAAATTTCGAAAAATGACCTTCCTGACCTCACTGTGACCCCTGTATTTCCTAAATCTTAAAACCAACACTCATTATGTGGCAGGGGTGAAAACAGGTTTTCATGGATAAACTGTTGGATCATTCTGAAAGACACCCCAAATCAGGGGCCAAATACTGTTCTTACCCTATCTTGTCCTTTGTTTCCAGCAGAATTTATTCAAGTTACAAAATGTGTGTTTCGGTAAAGGGATATACATGTACTTAATATTATTCCTGATGATTTGTTTATGTACACTAGAATCAGGTTCAAATGCAGTATTTAAGAATAGAATTAAAGAATAGACTAAAATAGATTAACATTTATTGTATTTAAACTAGTGATTCAGCGATAGTCGCCGACGATGGAAAAATCGTCGTTGGAAGCTTGGCGATGCCGACAATCGATAGCTTAACAGCAAAATTGATTGTCGCTATATATATAGATACTTCAAACATAAGGCTTAATCTTAATATATATTGTCTTTTTTTCGTGTATTGTACCTTTTTTGTACAAAGATAGTACTTTGATTATTTTTTATGCATCTTCTATGTCCACACAAGTTCCTGGTCGTCGCCTGTACTTAACGCGGTGCTTGTACATGTAGGCTAACCACTGGTAACTGAGTCAGTGAAAAATTCATAAACATGCTTTGAAAATAATAATTATGGCTTAATTTAAATAATCATAATGTAAAAAAAGAAACACGAGAAATGTCTTATTATTTTCGATTATGAATCGAAATGGTGCTTCCGATTTGATTCGATAATCGATAGTATTTTTCCTCCGATTCTGAAACACTAATTTAAACACAGTATCTCAATTTTTATTTATAAATAGTATATAGTGGTAACCAGTGTGAGACAGACTTAGAAGATCAGTGTACACCAGACACTTGTAGTTCAGATGGAATGTGTCAAGACAGAGCTGGAGAGAGCCCTGTCTGTCTGTGCCCTATTGTTGGGGAGTACTCCCAACCAAAGTAAGTCAACAACAAACTGTTTACTTAATATATGTAAGAAATCTAGAAAACATGTCCATGCATTGGTGGTATAATCTGGTTGGTTTAAGTTCTGAATCTTTTATTAGGTCACCTGAGTAAACTCAGGTGACCTATTGCTATCACTTTTCGTCCGTCGTCGTTCGTCGTGCGTTAACATTTGAATATTTTCAGCTTCTTCTCTGAAACCACTGAACCAATTTCAACCAAATTTGGCATATAGCATCTATGGGTAAAGGGGAACAAAAATTGTGAATTTCATGGTCCCTGCCCCCCTGGGGCCTGGGGGGTGGGGCAAAAACCACTAAAATTAATGCAATATTTAAAAATCTTCTTCTTTACTCCTGGACATCAAGCAGTCAAACTGTTTGCATGATTGTAATCAGCATTGAGTCCTCTACCAAAATTGTGAAATTCATGGCCCCAGGGTCATGGGTTCTAGTGCTAGGGCGGGGCCAAATAAGAATATAGTGAAAATGCATTATTTCTTTGAAAATCTTCTTCTCTGCTACTGGGTATTAAATAAACCTACTAAGTACATAGTTAGGATGAGCAAGAGTGCCTCTACCAAAATTGTGAATTTTATGGCCCCAGGGTCAGGGGTTCTGGTGTAAGGGTGGGGCTCTATAGATTATAATAGTGAAATTACATGAATTCTTTGAAAATCTTCTTCTCTGCTCCTGGGTATTAAATAAACTAACTAAGTGCATAGTTATGACGAGCAAGAGTGCCTCTACCAAAATTGTGAATTTTATGGCCCCAGGGTCAGGGGTTCTGGTGTAAGGGGGGGGGGGGGGGGGTCTTTAGATTATATAGTGAAAATACATGAATTCTTTGAAAATCTTCTTCTCTGCTTCTAGGAATGAAATAAACTAATTACATAGTTCTGATGAGCAAGAATACCTCTTCCAAACTTGTGAATTTTATGGCCCTAGGGTCAGGGGTTCTAGTGATAGGGCGGGGCTCTATTGATTATATAGAGAAAATACATTGAATCTTTGAAAGTTTTCTTCTCTGCTCCTTGGTATTAAGCAGATGAACTACCTATATAGTTATGATGAGCAAGGGTACTTATCTTCCAGAATTGTGAATTTCAAGGCCCCAGGGTCAGGGGTACCATAAAGGAGGGGGGTGCTGTACTTATATACTGAAACTGGATGAATTGTTCGAAATATGCTCCTTGGTATTAATCAAATATTTTTGAAAAGCAAGGGTGCCTTTTCAAAAATTGTGCAATGTGTGGATCTAGGCCTAAGGGTCAGGGGTTCATGTGTGATTGGGGCATTACTGATCATGCTGAATATTACTGATTACTTGAAATGCATTTTTTGTTCCCCTACCCTGCCTATGGGTATTAAGTAAACAAACTAAGCAGCTGCTAAGTGTATTGTTATGATGATCAATGGGGCCTCTTTCAAAATTGTGAATGCCATAGCATCTGGATTAAAACATGAATCAAATTCAGTCACTGGAAAGTTGTTGCATAATGCTCAGGTGACCTATAAGGCCCATGGGCCTCTTGTTAATTTTAGATTTCAATCAAAAAAGGACAAAATTTAATTGAAAGTTAAAGAAAATTGTTGTTGGAAACCCACAGTTGATTGCCCTTTGTTCTCGTTATTGTGATGGAGAGAGGAATAAAACAGTTTCCGATGATGAAAGAAAATAAGAAAACTTTTTCAGTACAAACAAGTATTGAAAACATTTGAAATTTTCTTTCCATATTTTGATAGAGGATATTCAACAATTTTCATAGAGGAAACAATTCTAAAAGTTTTTTGTTTTATTTTATTATTTTTCAGAGAGTGGTTACTTTTTGTCCCTCTTTATCTCAAACACCTTCAAGATAAACCTTTTTCAGCTACTGTATTTCGGGAAATACAATACACACTTTTTTCCTAAAATAAATTACTGTGAGAAAGGGATGCGTATTTTACATCACAATGGGATTTTGACAAGTTTTTCTTCTAGGTGAAACACAGCTATCATACGTACATACCGTAGTATTACCTAGAGACATATGCAATTTCTTTTGTTTATTGCCATATTTTAAACTTCGCAAAGTTATTGTTGGAAGGTATGCTTCTTAAAAATGTCACTTTCACAATCTTTTGATACCAAAATAACATGAAAAACTAAGTTAAAAGTAATTTGAGCTGCGTATTGATTGTCTCCGAGGAGGCCGCCATTACCGATGTTATTTTTAGACGTTAACTCATGCTTATGTCACGTGTTTCCGTAATGATAGTGCACATGCACCTTATCTGCCAGACAAAGTAATAAATCATTTTTTAAAGAAATACAATAAAATAAATATTAATTTTAGGTTTAAAATAACTCATTGATAATCTGCAACAATATTTAACACCCCTCCATACGTCCCAATAAAAGGAAGCCAATGTTGTGACACGTGCGCTTGTCAAATGATAATTACCTATCAACACCCCTCGGGGCAAATAATTGTCTACTGACTCCAAAGCAATGTTTTTACAGTTACAGCACTGATTATTTACTGCCATGTTAATTGCTTTGATTATTTTCTTTGTTAAAAAGGGGGTCGGTTTATGACCTTTCGTATGTGTGAGCATGTGTTGATTACGGCACTTTAAACAATTAAACACTTGTTAAATGTAATTTTACCTTATCTTATACTTATCGGCCTCTTGTTTAAATAATTGAGAGTTGACAAATGAAATATAAATTATGCTAAAACTTTTAATAAAAGTGGTATCATTTAGAAAATAAGTTATCCGCGAAGATTTAGAAGAGGAAAATCGTAGTCTTCTTAAAGAAATAAATACTTTGATGTTTCAATTTCGTTTCCTGTTAAAATATTGGAAGATAATTTTCAGCATGATTATCTAGAACCAAAATTAAATATGACAACTGATAAAACTTTCGACAATATCTCTTGCTTTGTTGAAATAAAATTATTTCATCTTAGAATATTTCAAAATCACCGTAACTATTCTTTAAAAAAATCTGTCAATACTTTTACGCAATATTATCTTGTATTTTGTTGAAATAAATGAATAAATAATTTTCTCCTGATTGCCTCGATATGGAATGTCAGGATAAAGAGAAGTTATAAAGTGTGTATTTAAAAAAAAATGTGTTCAGTAAATTTTTTACACTTAATCCTCGCGCATATTTTCGTAACAAATTACCGCGATTTTCAAAGTTCAGAACATCGCTTGGTAAATTTTTCTGTTGCATATAATACATCCGAACTGCGTTTTTTTCCCCAGTTTCAGACTCAAAAAGGGGGGTGCGTATTTTACATAAATGCATATTATACTCGGCCAAATACAGTATATAACCTTAGCTTTTCATGTTCATTGCTGAAATCGGGGCCTTTTGAGATGGCCTCAATGATATCTAGTTAATGTTTATATACAACAGGAACCACAGCTCGCGAAAAATTTTTCTAGCTAATAATTACAAAAATAGCTAAGTTGTAAAAATAAGGTGTCACAAAAATATATTGATCTACAGTACCCACTTCTCTAGAATCTGGGGTCCTATGATTATTACTTGTATAAAGTATGTACGTCATAAGGGGATGTAACAACACCCACTCTCCCACTGCTCTCATTGTACGGCCAGGATTCATTTTACAATGTTTCTTACATCATTTTGTAGATGTGACTTGGTACAAAATCTGTGTGATCCTAACCCTTGTCTACAAGGAGCTATATGTCAATCATGGGGTGCTGTAAGGAGACAATGTATCTGTAAACCAGGCTACTCAGGAGTGAATTGTTCTGTTAATATAGGTAAGTACTGCATAATATCACAGTTAGGCCACACCAATTTGTAAAATAGTTCTTCGGATTTTCAAAAATACAAAGTGAGGCGAGCGAGCGAAATTTTTTTACAAATATTATTTTTTATTTTGGTTTTCAAAATTATGAGGCAAGCGAATATAATTATTATATATAATATATATATATATTTTTAATAAAGTGTGATTTCAAAGAGCATGGACCTAAAAAATACAGATAGATATCATTTGAATACCACATAAACTTATTCTTAACTTTTTTGGGATTTTTTTTTATAAGTAAAAATGTGTCAAATTTCAAAGACTTTATTTTCATAAATGTAATGTTTTCAAACATCTCCTCTGCTTCCGTTTCTATTGCTGTGTATGAAACAACTTTGTATCCATTGTTTTTAACTATAGAACACAGGGTTGTGCAATTAAAAATTTCAAGTACTAGCCCACAGGCTAGTGGCAGCTGCAAAGTTACTAGCCCAAATAAAGGGGCAAAAATTAAAATAAAACTAACGTTGAAAAAAAAATTAATTGCTGATAAAAGGATACTGAAGTCATTCTTTTTAAATCAAAGTTTTATTCTCAATATCAAATTCAGTCATGTTTAAATTATTATGAAATAAAATTAAAATGAACTTCAATAACTTATCTTCCCTTTTTTTGATCATTGCACAGTATGAGTAGCTCATTTAGAATGAAATTAATTTTTGTTTTCATCTTAAATCATTCAATAAAAAAGAAATATGTTTTATGTGAGTCACAAAACACTTATCTTTCAGTTGATTGTGTGATTGTAAGTAATTTAAAGATATAGCTGCATGTATTTACCATAATCGGAGGAATAGAGGAAATTCGGATTAGGAAAAAAACGATCGTTTTTGGAAGTAAAGAAGTCAGGTAGTTATGCAAAACGGATAAGATTATGAAGGTTTATTGACAGTAGGAGTATTTTGTCTGGAAAATTTAAACTGGTTGGGGATTTTGTAGCCAAAAACGAGTGAAAATACCGGTTGTGCTTTTCATGTATAGTGCGTGTGTAGTTATATTTTTTACTAGCCCGAGGGGCTACCTCCTTGTAGAAAAACCACTAGCCCGACCCCCCAAAAAGGTAGCTCCGGACGTCAGGGGATGCTAATTGCACACCCCTGGTACATATGAACAGTTAAACAGGCATCATGCAAAACTTCACAAACTGCTTCAATCTCACTATAAATCCCGCGCATCTGTCATACAAGATTCAAAGTCTTGTGTGTTTGGTGTAAAAAGTCGAGAAAAAATTTGAAGTCGGATTTTTTTGGACGCGCGCGCGGAAATTTTTTTTTAAATATTATAATTTGCATTTGTAATAAATAGAAGCGGCGAATCCGACGAACTATTAATATTAGAAATTGGTATGGCCTTATATTTCTGGTAAAACTGAGGTAGAAAACATGTTTATGTGCTTTCAACACTTTGAGGATAAAATCAACAAGGAAAGTTTTGGTCTAAGAGTTACTCCCTGTTTGCATTAAAAGTCGCAGTGTCACAAATTTGCAATCTTCAGGTTGTGTAGATTCAATCTTGTTGAAATAATGACCTCTAAGTCTTGGGAATGGACCACAATGGGGGGATCAAAGTTATACATAGGAATATATAGTGAAAAAAATGTTCTGATGAAGAACAGAAAAGCCATGTTTAGTCATTTTGAGTTGAAAGAATTTTGAAGTACCCGGTATTGTAGATTCAAGTTTGTTCAAATCATGACCTCTGCGGATATGGAAGGGGCACAAGGGAGGACCAAATTTTACAAAGGAATATACTAGTATAAGAAAAAGTCTTTAAAAAATCTGCTGCTCAAGAACAGTAAATTTAAAAAATCTGCTGCTCAAGAACAGTAAAGCTATTTGTTATATTGATATGAAAGCATGCTCAGGTGATTTTTGCCCCCGTCTTTTCTTCTCAAAGTGTCGTATTGGCTTTGATGTCATATTGGAGTGGTTTAGAATATCTCTTTGATATCCTTTCACTTAGTGACAGAAATTAATTTTTATTCAATGGAAAAGTCACAGTATATCACTGTTGAAAATGTAATAAACCTGTTTTTCAGTGATTTTAACTAGATACTAGTATCAATATCAAAGATTTTCTTAATTGTTACACCACAAAATTACTACAGGTGTAACAATACGGCGATACATGGATTGTATTGATTGCAAGGTCTCATGATACGCATATCATATCACCATGTATGTATCGTAATACAGTAAAAGTTAATTTTCCTGGTCTTATTTGAAAATCCTACATGCAAACTAAGAAATGTTACTGTTTCAAAATGAATGAAATAAAGGTAGCAATGAAAAAAAAACATTGCTAAGACTATAAGACCACCTATAAATAACTGGTTAGGGGTCTCAATATATTTTTTTTTTATATTTTCTATAAATTTGGAGGTTAGCAAGCAAGAATATGTAAAGATATCAGTTAATTTTATTGTTGACAGCTGTATCATGATACATGTTGTATCGCATGACCATATTGTGATATGTATTAAATTGTATCGTTAAGTAGCTTGCGATACTCAGGCGTAAAAGTTACCATGTTAAAGTTTTTACCTAAATTGTTTGTTTCACTGCTATTTTTCAGACGACTGTGCAATTAATAGAGATGGGTGTTTGTATAACAGTACATGTAAGGATGGAGTTGATAGCTACACATGTGATTGCACGTCTTCAGGATTTAGAGGCACACATTGCCAGGTCACCAAAGATTTCTGTAGTGGAACACCTTGTCCTAATGGTGGCTGTGTGAATGACTACACAACACTGTCACCCAAATGTTTCTGTGATGACCCATACCAGTTAGGTAATATGCCATACTCTTTAGCATACACTCTTCATAAAATTTTCTCAAATGCAATACGATATTGATGATCCTAGAACATTCTGTACTCTTTTCATTTCATATCACAGGAATTAATGGTAAATGTGAACAGATGGATCTATGTAACAACACCGATTGTAACAATGGCACCTGTAATTCACTGACTGGGAAGTGTACCTGTGATACAGGCTTTGAAGGTTCTAATTGTCAGCACAGTGTGGATGACTGTAAGGACATGCCTTGTAAGAATGGATCAACGTGTATAGATGGACACCAAGACTACAGTTGTGTGTGTGTGTCAGGATTTACAGGTAAATATCAAAGTAAATAGCGACACCAAGGGGTCATTTTACTGGGTTTCTGTCTCTTTTTCATCCATCTGTCACACCTTATATCTCAAGAACTGTAAGATATATGGATGTTTCTAGGTCAACGGTTGAGGTCATAGCAAAATTTAATGAAAAATCCTTGTCTGGAGCATATCTTCTCTCCCCTTGGTCCATCATGACTCATAATTCACTCACAGAGTGTCACTGGTCACTGGATGAGCAGTGACCTTGAAACAAATTTTTTGGTCAAGGGTCCAGGCCAAAAGAAGCCTCTCTTTTTAAATTCTTGTCATATTTTCTCTCTGGCTTTTTGAAACATGTTTTGGGTCTTAGATTAAGGTAAAAGCAGAATTACAAAAAATCCTTGTTCAAAACATATCATCTCTCCCCTTGGTCCAATGTGGCTCATACTTCACTCACAGAGTGCCACTAGTCAATGGATGTGCAGTGACCTTGAACGAAGTTTTTTGGTCAGTTGGGGGGAAATTTGAAAATAAATCAAGAAAAAGAACTTTAGTTTTATTTGGATTTAGCTAAAATTGCAGTCAGCGCTCGCGTAAACCATTTTTAGCTCACCTGAGCCGAAGGCTCAAGTGAGCTTTTCTGATCAAAATTTGTCTGTTGTCTGTCGTCGTTGTCGTTGGCGTTGTCATAAACTTTTCACATTTTCATCTTCTCAAGAACCACTAGGCCAATTTCAACCAAACTTGGCACAAAGTATTCTTGGGTGAAGGGGATTCAAGTTTGTTCAAATGAAGGGCCACGCCCTTTTCCAAGGGGATATAATTATGAATTTGTTAAAAATTAATGGCATTTTTAAAAAATCTTCTTCTGTAGAACCGCTGGGCCAGGAAAGATGAAACTCATGTGGAAGCATACTTAGGTAGTATAGATTCAATTTTGTTCAAATCATGACCCCCGGGGCAAGGGTGGGGCCAAGATGGCCGACCCTAATTTAACATAGAAATATATCGGAAAAATCTTTAAAAATCTTTTCAAGAACCATTGGGCCAGGAAAGATAAAGCTCATGTGGAATCATCCTCAGGTAGTATAGATTCAAGTTTGTTCAAATCATGACCCCCGGGGCTAGGGTGGGACCAAAATGGCCGACCCAAGTTTTACATAGGGATATATAGGGAAACCTTTTAAAATCTTCTTTTCAAGTACTTCAAAGCTATGCTTAATGATATTTATATGGAATCATCCTCAGGTAGTGTAGATTCTAGTTTGTTCAAATGATGAACGCCTGGAGGGGGGTAGGGGAGTAAATTCAAGCCTGATGTGCTCAGGTGAGTGCTGTGGCCCCTGGGCCTCTTATATTAAAAAATGTTGGCCTAACAAGGGCTGTGATTAATCATTTAATGGGTGTGCATCCCCACCCACCCCTCAAAATTATCAATAGGTCTGGGCTTTGTGCACATGTAGAACTACAGGACCATGATTATTCAAATTGATATTCATGCAACTAGGTAGTGTAGATTTATTTGTTCAAAATGTGATAGTATGTGAAATAAATTTACATGCAAACATTCATAAGGTCTTGTGAATTACAGTATGTTTAGGTTATGGATTATGGGAACAATGTTAGGTGAAATCTACAGTAGTACAGGAACAAATTTTAAATAATGCATGTTTCGGGTTAATTTTTTAATCTTCTTTACTTGCATGAACAGCAAAGTCAGATCAGGACATTTTTATTATATATTTTATAGTGTTCAATGGCCTGGTTGGCTATGGTTTGATACTTTTCTTATCCTTTTACATGTTTTAAGGAATATTGACAAAAAATTATTTTAATACTCTTTTATATTGATTTTCTTTATTTAAGGGAAAAACTGTGACATGGACCAGGAGGACTGTCCAGGATCCTGTAACATGACAACTACACGGGAAACTGTAAATAAAATCAACGAATGTGAATGTCTGTGTAAGCCAGGATATACAGGCCAAAACTGTACAGTAAGAATTATATTAGAAATTTTTTTCAAAATTTTGAGAATTTTAAAACTTTCCTAAAATTATCAGTTGTATCATATTAAAAGATATTGGTCAACCAAGGTCCTCAACTTTGTTGTTTCTGTAGTCTTATACTGAGGAAGTAAGGGAAGTTTTGATCATTTATTTTTTTGGTAAAATATGTCAAACTACATAGTATGTTAAAAAAATTGTTCAGTAATGGTATCAGTAATATGTTAAAGCCAATTTTTAGCTCTTCTGAGCCAAAGGCTCAAAGAGCTAATGCTATGGCCATTTGTGCGATGTGCGTTAACTTTTTAGAATATGGGCCATAACTCAAGAACCTTTTGGCCAATCATTGTACCAAATTTGCCACAGGGTATCCTTGGCCCAAGGGCTACCATTTATACTAAAATAAGGGTTAGGACCCTAAAACAAGGGGAGATAATCAGGAAAACAAAAACAAAAGTACTAGTTGCTAAAAAATCTTCTTCTCCAGAACCGCCAGGCAGATTTTCACCAAACTTACATACAAGGATCAAGATATGTTGATTGATTGATTGATTGTATATCAAAAAAATAATTAATTATTTCTAAATGCTATCATTTAGAAATAATTAATTATTTTTTTAAACACTTATCTTTAGTATACATCAGCACTACTTGTACTTTTTTTTTCAAATATAATAAATATTGTTATGTAGCTATAAGCAAGAGGCCGACTCGCGCTCTCTTTGTCGGTGGTGTAGACATGACTGAGCTGGAGAGCAGAATGACAAACATTGGATATAACGCTGCTTATATGAGCAGATTTTTCATTACCCAGCTTAGTTTTTACTCTCTATTTCCTATAAACTGATGAACATAGCCAAGCGAATTCTCTCATGTGAAGCTCTGAATACACCTAAGCGAGCTGTCAGTATCGAGTCTAATTTTAGTTTGAACACTCATCCACGCTAATTCTGACAAAATAAGAATTCACGCAGTAGTCATCCCAAGTAAAATCACTGATTGTCTAAAATTATTCAAATTTGATTAAATGTTTTAGGTTTTTTTCGATGATAACTGCCACCAATCTTCGGATGAATATTACACAATACGGATGTGTGTGTGCCATGTGTAGACTACGAGATTATGAAACTGTGTCGTCCTGTCTATAAATAGAAAAATATTCAAAACCAGATCTGTACTAAAATTATAAATATCTCTAGATAACAAATAACTGAATAGAAAATTGTTTTCTGTTAACAACGCAGTTAATTGTTTATTTTCATTTGTGTATCGATCTCTCGTATATTATGACCATACCCACTTAGCATGCTTAATCTGTGGACTAATCATCGTAAGTCATTCATAACACTGGCACAGGTGATCATCTTGTAAAAACAATCAATCCGGCCAGTGTTTTGATAATAATTATCACTCAGTTCAGGCGTGAATGTTGACTAGAATGGAAGTACAACTTAAAATTTACCGTCCGGATAAATGAATCAATTTGTAACGTAAAAATACATTTTGTAGTAAAAAAGAGCCGTCCGGATACCGAACGCGGAATTCCGGATAAATGAGTCAAAATTACGAAAAAATCCGTTCCGGAGAAAAATCGTCCGGAAGGTGAAGCGTCCGGATATCTGGCGTCCGGATATCTGAAGGTCCACTGTATATTTAAGTATCTTAGGTATTTATTTATTGGCTTAGAATCATCAAACTTTGTGAGTTGATGCATCTTGGGTTTTCAAAGAGTGACGACCAAAAATTAGGTCACAGTGACCTACTTTTGACATTTTATGGCTATATTTAAGTATCTCAAGTACTTATTGGCTTAGAATCATCAAACTTTGTAAGTTGATGCATCTTGGTTTTTCAGAGAATGTCGACCAAAAAGTAGGTCACGGTGACCTACTTTTAACATTTTATGGCTATATTTATGTATCTTAGGTATTTATTTGCTTAGAATCATCAAGCTTTGTGAGTAAATGCATCTTGGGTTTTCGGAGAGTGACGACCAAAATTAGGTCACTGTGACCTACTTTCGACATTTTATGGCTATATTTAAGTATCTCCGGTGCTTATCGGTTTAGAATCATCATACTTTGTCAGTTGATGCATCTTGGGTTCTCAGAGAATGTCGACCAAAAAGTAGGTCACGATGACCTACTTTTGAATATCTCAGGTATTTATTGGCTTAGAATTATCAAACCTAGTCAGCAGATGCATCTTTGGACTCTGAAAATGTGGACTAAAATGTAGGTCACGGTGACCTACTTTCGACATTTTATGGCTATATTTAAGTCTCCGGTACTTATTGGCTTAGAATCATCAAACTTTGTCAGTTGATGCATCTTGGGTTTTCAGAGAATGTCCACCAAAAAGTAGGTCACAGTGACCTACTTTCGACATTTTATGGCTATATTTAAGTATCTTAGGTATTTATTGGCTTAGAATAATCAAACTGTGTCAGTTGATGCATTTCGGGTTTTCCAAAAATGTAGACCAAGAAGTAGTCCTAATTGGCTGAGAATCATCAAATTTTGTCAGGTGATGCAACTTTGGTATAAGGATACTTAGGGTTAGAGGATTCAAATACAAGTGATAGGTTGTACAATTTATCAGAAGAGTGATTCAAGGCCCTTGGGTCTCTTGTTAAATGTTCTTTATTATACTTTAATGTGGAATAAAGGAAGAGATAGATGAGTGTGCCAGTTTTCCTTGTGAACATGGAGCCACCTGTACTGATATGCTGGATGACTATCACTGTAACTGTACTGAGGGCTGGGAGGGAAAGAAGTGTGACCAACAGATTAATTACTGCCAGACCACCTCTACAAAGTGTCAGAGTGGTGACTGTTACAACCTAATAGATGATAAGTATTGCAGGCAAGTAAAATATTGGATTATGAATGTTACATTTACTATTCAAACACTTACTATTAAGAATTTATACAAGAAATAAGAGTTGTGTTTTCATGGATGTTGCAGCATAACCACAGGTCTTGAAACTGTGTTTTAAAATGTAAAAGCTGATGCGTTTGCCCAGGGTTTTATAAGCAAAATTTTGAGACCAATTTAGGTTTAGTCATCCTTGGCAAATAAAAAAAAAAAGGAGGTATTTGTGAAACACTAATCTCCTATATCAAGAGGTTAAATTTGGTCTTGTCACAAGGAACACACCTGTGAAATATGAAAGCAATTAATAGCTCCACTAACTTAAAAGTTATGGACAAGGTTGAAGTTTTTGTGGACAACAGATAAACAGACAAGCAAACATGAACAGGGCAAAAATTATATACCCCTGTCCTGAGTGTTTAATTACAGGAGGTATATAAGAAAATTACAAGTGTTCCATTTTATGGATTACAGATGCAATGCTGGTACGAGAGGTGAGACGTGTGAAGATATTCCAGATGTGTGTAATGTTATTTCCCCATGTTCAGCAACAGGCACATGTCAGAATGCCAATGGAACAGCAACATGTTCATGTCAGAGTAGTAAGTAAAAAACAATGTATTAAGATCGATACATATATAATGTTACCTCAGCAGTGTTGAAATGTGACTTTTACATGGGGCTTATATAAATTTTTTTAATGCTGGTGAGACACATTATATTCATGTCCTCCACAAATCATAAACTTTGAAATAATATGACTGCCGTCATGAGAAAAGGGCTCTTATCTTTTGACGTCACAATGCTCAGAAAACGACGTCAAAGTCGCGGTATTGTAAACACGGAAGTAATTTTTGTTGACTGCATTTTGTAAACAAGAAATGAAATTGAATTTCAAAGCGTAACAAAAATTTGAAAGTTGTTGCGGACATTTTTTAATAGGTATGTGATATATTTACAATTTAGTACGTAAATTTATTCATAATTTTGTTTAAGTATTTAACGTGATGTAGATATACGGGGCATTGGACATGCACGTTGCTAGCTATGGAACAGCGATCAAAACGATGTCTATGAATGATTAAATTAAAGATGCTGCATATTTGTTTTCTGAGAAATTTACAAACTTAATTGAATTTTGAATTCATGTTAAGAAGTCTTAATATTAAAAGTTATATTCCATATACGTGTGTATTTTTTCAGTGAGAGAGAGATCTATGCATATATAGTAATTACCGTTCTTGTAAGCACTAATTTTTTCTGAAAAATATATACCATAATTTAAAACGTATTAAGCCATTTTAATTTTAATCCATAGTTTAACATACTGATATACCCTGAGAACCAGCCTTCGGTGAACTGTCGATTTTAAAATGTGTGTAAAAAAAAAATGGGGGGGGGGGGAGACAAGCCAAAAAATCTCCGAATAATAAGACCGGTTAAATTTAAAGCTAAGAAACATAATCCCTCTTTGATTGAATAAAGATACTGGTAACATGGGAGATCCAAACCTTCTACATAACCAATAAATATTAATATGTTTTACTAAAATGAACAGTAATAGAATATGCTAAGGGAAAAAATACGGATGATGGGGATGCCACGAAAATTTTGATAAAATAAATAAATTTCAAAAACTAATTTAAAATGATTAAATGGAATTGCATGGTAGAACTTAATTACTATTGTTTCAAATTTCTGAAATTGTTCCGGTGAAATGAATGAATGAAATCCCACTGGAACCTATTTTGCAATATGTTAAGAAATTAAATACAGCTATTGTAGACTTGTCCCAAAAGCATTATACCCAATGTTAAAGAAATTAACAATATTACATTGACAGTGATATTATGAATGAGGATATTTATAAACCAAAAAGGGGGGGGGGAACTATAGCTAAGCAAAAAGACGTACGAATTTCTAGATAACATCAAATACATCACTGAAAAGGCAAAAAGTATATGACAAATTGTTATGGGTGTAATTTCCAAAAGATACGAAAATGTTTAAAATCTTTAAAAACTTTAATGAGCGTGAAATATATATCACTGACTATTCATGATATGAAATACATAAGTCACATTTTGCGTTGAAAGCTTCAACTCTGATACATGTATCAAAATACCCTGCATATCTCGACATTAATTTTTTAAAGTTCCGAGATAAGACTTTATATCATAATCCTAACATGACTCTACGAAACGTAATCAATAAACAAACACAAATTTTTCTTCTTTTAATAAAATATTGGCCATTACAGTCACACGCAAGTAGCAACGGAGGTTGGAGTATGCATTGAAAGTCCGGCCCCCCTTAACCTCCACACACACACACACACACTTTTTGTTCTATCATAGTCAAATTCATGCACTATAGGGCAAAAGAATAAGGCACTGTATAATGCTTGATTAAGAAAATTTGATACTAAAAGAAGATTGAACCTTACCCCCCCCCCCCCCCCCCCCCCCAACGGTGAAACTGTATTCGAGTTTCGACACACACACACACACACACACACATCCTGTTTTTGGTTGAGTAGGTTTTTTAAGGTAGATCTGTTTTTCTTTCTAACTGAACCCCCCTCCTCTTTTTCAAACGAGTTGTTTGGGGACAGGCCAAGGTACGAGTCAAATTGTTTTTTTTTTTATTTTGATATGTTCTGAAGTAATAACTAAGGAAAATGGCTTGCCTTAATATTTCCAGCGAAAGAGAGTCAAATTAGAGCGGTAAATGTATACTATTACTTAATTAACAGCATCGTCTCATACAAAAAGCATTAATGAATGTTGGACGTAATAGTTCATTATTGGATAAAACAATCGCATCGAAATGTGAAAAAACTTATAAGACATCAAGTTAATTAGCCATTGTCACGGAGGAAAATGAATAGATGACCGTTCCCGGCCTTTAAAAAAATTGTTTTGATTGTCAAGGAAAACTTGGTGGTTGAAAGTGCCAACAACTGAAAAAAATATACCTACCCCCCCCCCCCCCCCCCCCCCCACTGAAATGGCTTCCCAAGGGCCTGCCATTCTTGCGTAAAAATATATAAGTATTCATTCAGTTTCAAATTGATTTCGTCAAAATTTAGAACAGCACAATTCCCATCTCTTTGATTAAATTATACAATATTATACATACATCATTTTTTGAGATCATAGTAGCGGTCCTTGTAAAAATATACAAATATTGTGTTTAAGTGAAACAGAGTACAGGTGCCACAAAATTTTAAAAAATGTTAATGTGCAGAAATATTTCTAACCAATTTAATTGTGATTTACTTTTTAAAAAATAAGAAGTTAAAAGACGGTTTCAAATTGAGGTAAAAATTCAAAGAAAGTTTCAATTTAAGGTACAGTTTATAAATCATTCAGATTCATTTGTCCTTTATTAGCCTATTTACTACATTTCTACTCCATAACTAAGACAGGCGAAGAAAATGAATTGTATAAACAATGGAAACTTAGAGCTTTAAACATTTAAATAAACTATTCAAAAAAAAAATTTTTAAAAATTAAAAATCTGCTTGCATGGAAGATTGATTGATTGTATATTGTTTAACGTCCCTCTCGAGAATTTTTCACTCATATGGAGACGCCACCACTTGCCGTTGGAGAGCTGCAAATTTTGTCCTATACTCAGCACTCAGGGCCATTGAGCCGGGAGGGATCTTTTTCGTGCCAGCACCTACTGCGACAAGGGAACTCGGTTTATACGGTCTCATCCGAAGGACCGGTCTCCACGTCCCACAGTGGGATTCGAACCCGCGACTTAAGGATTGACTCCTTACTTAATTCCTTGCATGGGAGAATGGAACGTATATTTTTTTCATGAATGTTTATAAAAGGCATAAGCGTTTTTAAAAACAAGTTTACATATCTTGGCATATCTGAATTTATTATTTCTCAGTTGAATTCTTCGGTGATACAGGAAATACATGGTGTTTAAATTTTTATCGTAACAGTTATAGGGAATAAAGGTACGTGCGTGTGTGTTGGTGAGTAAATGCTGTCTCATAAGATTTTTTTAAATATCGGGATCGATGTCCTTTTTGCGAGGGGTGCCCCTTTTTGCGCGCAGTCTCCTTCTGCATCGACTCTCTCTCTATATATATTTCTTTTAATCTTTAAGTGTTACAGGCGCTTTATATATTTTATAAATTGAATTAGATTCTTTTATATATGAAGAATAATTTGCATGGATATAAACAAATACTATGTTCCTACTGATTATGTTATAAAGCTTTCCTAGATTCTGTCTAGATCCCCCTTTTTTTATGAAATTAACAGACCTGCTCCAAAATTAGCTTGAAAATAGTAATAACATACGATATCCCTTAGGAATAGTTAGATACTAGTCGCTTGGAAGAAAAAAATAAATACTTTCTCAAGTTGTTGATTCTCAAAACGATGGATGTTATTTATTCAAGATTTTTTGAAAATTGAATTTGACGCAGGCGACATCATTACGTTTTCATTGAGTAACGTCAAAGTTATTTTTGGAGCGCCTCACTAAAATGGTCATAAAATAGGGAAAAAGTGAGATATTTTCAAAATTTATGTATATTTGCATTCAGAAAGAGTCCGGCTATCAAAATTTACCAAAAAGTCAATTTGTGAAAATTTGACCTTAAGGGCCCTTTTCTCGTGACGGCAGTCATATATGTTCATGTAACAACTCAGTACAACTTCATCCACAAATTAAAACCCCACAAAAAATAGTTTTCTCAAACCGTGAAAATTAGACCCCACAAAAAAAAAGATTTTACAGTATTTAAAAATGTCAATTCTTAATAATATAAAAATATTTTTTTTAGACTATTCTGGAGATTCCTGTCAGTTGTTGAAAGACTTTTGCACGGGAACAACAAATTGTTTGTATGAGGGCATGCCTAGTACAGGAACATGTACAAATCTGCCAGCTGGAGGCTTTAATTGCGCTTGTCAAACTGGTAAGGGACTTTTTTGTCGGTAGGGTGTGGGTGCACAAACACCCCCTCCAATACATGCATACACAGGCACCCTTTATGGCACCCTGTCAATGTAATATAATCAACCTAAATTACTAAATTATTATTTCTAAATATTTTAAGGAAAAGAATCTTGAGTAAAACAAAACATTTTATTGTTTTCTTATATAGGCTATTCTGGAGGGACTTGTCAAACTAAGGTTACCCGCTGTTCCAATTTGAGTTGTGGATCTGAAGCAATGTGCAATGAGGAGATTGGTTGTTACTGTCCAGAGGGAAAAATATTCACAGAGAATATAGTTTGTAAAAGTAGGTCTTTATTAGGGGTGGGACGATATACCGATACACCGATACGTACTGATATTTTCCTCTAAGATACGGTTTACGATACAAGCATTCAAATAACGGTACAAAACGATACACGAACGACCTATCCAAATATTGAAAATGAAAGTACCTGTCCTTGGAAAATGGCGGCTTGTACGAGCGAAGAAATGATGTTGATATTGAAAACACACTTTAGAACTAATAAGTCGTTGGTTAGGGGTTAAACGTTTTCACTTTTAAGCAGCCTTGGAAGATTGGACAAAAAAAGTTCAGTATGTACATGTAATGCGTGCTATACAAAGAAAATATTGTTTCCAGAACATTTGATATTATTAACTGTTAGTCCATCTTGTACTTTTTTTTTGTAATCTCAACTTTGCTACAGACTTTCAGCAATGAATTAATAAAAATGTAAATGTGATCGATGTTTTTTAAATGAATTTTTAGTAAGTGTTCTCTGATAAACTACATGTACACAACTATTTGTAAACAACTTCTGAATAGTAATTTGGTAATGATAGTATGTACATGTATTATTGTTTTTGTAAAGTTTTAGTAAATGAAATTGATGAACTTCAAGTATTAATTTCAAAGCAAACATGATTTGATATAGAATAACCTATGGATTCAATGTCAAGACAAAAAAAGAAATAAAATACTAATTCTTTTGAATAGTTTTATAATTTCTTGTAATATCGAGATACGTATCGTATCGTGCCAATATATCGAGATATGTATCGTATCGCAAGATGTGTGTATTGTCCCACCCCTAGTCTTTATCTATAAATTGACACATGTGTATTGTGTATAGTTACATCCTACATATTCAAATGCCCCATCCTCACTGTGTTTTGACAGAATAACAAGTAGTTTTCTGCTTCTAAAGTTTTTCTGCTGTTAAGTTTCATTATCATGATTATTAGGTATTTTCAAGTACTTCAGTGAAAATGACATTCTTATTGAAGGATAGGAAAGTTTAAAGATTTATCTGGAAATAAGGAAACAAGTGTTCCTTACAACAAATGGGACTTTGTGAATAAATCAAAGTGTGGCCCCTGTATATAGAATAAGTGGCCTCAAAATCAAATTAACATTTTACATAGAATATATGTATACAAAGGAGAAATCAGATGAATAACAGCATGGCCAAAATAACTTAGTTGAGCATTGTGGCCCATGGGCTTCTTGTAAAAAAAAAAATCAGAGAAATTCTTTCAAAATGCTGTTTCTACTACAGTTTATGTTTCTAACTTTACCTCCTGCAGTAGGATTTGAACCTGTAACATAATTGATCCTTATCAACGACTCTGAAGCAAACCCTCTAACCACTGCATTATTAGGGCAACCCTAGTTTAACTGCAAGAGGACAGCTTCCTCTATTCACTTTCCTCAACTAAAACAGTTAAATTAGTTATTGATATAATATACATTTTAATAATTTGTTTTTCTTTTAGTTCCATCAGATGACTTTGATATTTATTTTGATACTCAAATGGGAGAGGAGGGGGCCTCTACCACAGCTGTGTTACCTGGTGACCCAGAACATTCTGATTTGTCCTTTATGATGATGGTGAAGTTTAACAAAGATCAAAATGTCATGGAAAAAGAAGATGCTGTATTGTTAAGAATCAGGTATAGTAAATGCTTTATGTATTTTCTATGTTATTTAACTACGATCGTTCAATTAATCAAGAGTTAAAGAAATGATAAGGAGATGCTGTATGCAGGGTTATTTTCTTAGGAATTACTCATTGCAGATGTAGATTAAGCATACTCAATTGAACCCATTATCAGCTTTAATTTTGATGTAATTTGCATTATCATTAGATACCCATAGGCAATTAAGTCTTTTACTTACCACCAATGGGCAAGTTCACTGAAATATTGTTAAATGTGTTAATTTGTTCATTATAAACATCTATCAGAATTTTAAAAATAATTTTCAAATGATGCTAGATAATATTGCAATGCCTTTTAAAATGTGAGAAATTTGTTTTAAAGAGATAAAAGACAAGTTGTTCAGTTCACTAGTATCAAGTATCTGTTGGGAATAAAACTTAAGGAGTGCCTTCTTCAAACTGTTATTAAATGCACTGATCATTGGATTTGTTTGCAATATGGGTATTTTGATAATGGGAAAGTGTTTGTCATCGCCATGCAAACATCAACTGTGATTTGTTGATTTGCAATGAAAGGATATATCTGCAAGTCATTATAGGTAGGAATAAAGTAAAAGATGAAAAAACTCTTGTATAATAACAAATTTACACATGAAATGCCTATTGGTCCAGCTTTTCTAAAAAAGACAATTATGTGAAAGATTGAGGCTTACAGCTGTGTTAGGAATTCTCTTTTATAAGAACAGACATATAGAGCTACAGTCTGTAAGAGACTTCTGATAATACTTGTCATGGCTTTATTTCATAACAAGCACATACTTATATAACTAATATAATAAGTGAGTTGATTGCTATTAAATTATTGTACAATCTTATTTATTTATTTAATTGTTTGACATGACAATATTTGACTGCCTTATTTTATGAAATAATTGATTTTTTTCAGAGATTTCATAGAAATCAAGAATAACAGTATCACCTTCATGAACGGAACAAGCTCTCATTCAGTAAAATTTGAATACTATGGAAGCCTAGAAAGAATTGATGATGGTACTAAATGGAATTTTATTGCTGTATCATGGAGGAGAGATGGCAAGACAACAGTTTATGTGAAAGCTGGGCTACTTGTTTTTGACAGCAGCTCTGTTGCCTTCAAACTGCCAAAAGTGTAAGATTATTTAGTAGTTTTCTATTCAGTGTAAGGATTTGTAGCTTAATTATAAGATTAAGGTAGTCTGTTCCTCATCTCTCTGAAAATAAGGAGTTATTTAAAAATGTACTGTAGTACATTTTTCCGCGTGGTATTAATTTACGCTATGTACACGGTCTCAAATTTTCCACGGAAATTTGTCCAAACGTACTTGATATAAATGTAAAGCATATAGTGACAGTTTTAAAAAAATCCGCGTAATTTTCTACCCGCGGATTAAACAGAAATTGAGATTCCGTGGAATTATGACCCCGTGGAAAAAGGTACATCTACAGTATGCTTTCTTGTTTTAGAAGTAAATGGTATTTACCAAAGGTGATGCTCTCAAGTTTATTATTATAGTTATACTATTTATCAAAGTATACATATCTTCAGGTAATGTTGATTCAAATTTGTTCCAATCAAGACCTCTAGGCCTAGGGAAAGTCACAACAGGGGTCAATGTTTTCCATACGAATATATAGGAAATATCTTGTTCTTTTTATTAAGATTTAACATAGAAATTGGGAAGAGATATGGAGGTAGGATATCACAGGTAAAATTCTGGAACAGCAGTATTGCAAATGCCGACATGTTAAGGCTTTCAAGTGACAGGAATCATAAACCTGCAGGAGCTACTCTCATTCATGGCTGGTACAATTACAAAATGAACAAGGGAGCTATGAAGAAGATCACGACACAGATTGAAAATGATAGTATCTGTGATGTTCCTGCTTGTTCACCATCAGGTATGTAACATGAATGACACATAGTTGTTTTTCTGAATAAATGCAATGTAACAGTCTTCTTGACACTTTATAAATGTAATTTAGTTGTTCCTCATTATTTAAAATTGAGGAATACCTGTAATTGTTGATTGCACCTTGAAGAGGCTGGGTGGTAGTGGCCATTTTTAGACTATTTTAATCTCCTTTAGAAGAAGAGCTCCATATAAAGATATAAAAAAAAATGATCAAATTTTAAAATAAGAACTGATGAAATTTTTCTTTGCCAAATGATAGTTGACAGCTTAAGAAATCATATCCTAAAATTTAAGTTATATCTGGTGGTTAATAAAAAATAATTTGTTGATCACCTAGCCTCCTTAATGGTTTTTTGACCATTAATTGTAATATTTTTGCAGATAAGATTAAACCAAAGATAAAAGCCTGTCCTGTTGATGATGCAAGAAGCTCTAGCAAAAGAGTCTTTGAATATCAACTGCCAACTATTAGTTCTATGTTTGACAATTTCAATGAAAGTCAGTCCCTGATCTCACATAAAGGTTAGTTTGGCATTAAAGCCTCTTTTTTAACGCACCAGAGTTGAAAGTGAACTTTTCTGATAGTATTTTGTATAAAATACTTTAATCTGTCAATTCCTTTCTCTGTCTGTATCTCTTACCTTTAAATCTTCAAATCCACTAGGCCAATTTCACCCAATCTTGCAAGGAAATGGATGAGGAAAGGTCTATTTTGTACAGTTGACTAATCAGATAAAGCAAAACAGATTGGTGTACATAACAACCTCATTTAAAGCTGTCAATGGAGAAATGTTAGGCATTGACTTTATAGATCTTCTTATAACAACATTAAAACTATACTGCAAATGTCTTGGAAAGTGAAACATACTACCAAATTACTCAGGTGACCATTGTGGCCTATAGGCCTTGATAAATTATTAGGGGAGGGATGGGGGGGGGGGGCACACTTTAACGGTAACCCATACTGAAAAAAGTTATAACTTAGTTATAACTTTTGTAACTAAAAAAAGTTACAAAAAAGTTATAACTAAGTTATCGGAGTTTGGAACCACATGTTTTAAGTGAGGTATAATTTAGTTATAACTTAGTTACAAAAAAGTTATAACTTTTGTTTAACTTTTCACCTTTTATTCAAAATAAATACAGCAAGTGCGTGAAAGTTATAAAAAAAGTTATAACTACGAAAAGTTATACTTATTAAAAGTTACACAAAAAGTTATAAAAAAGTTACAAAGTTATACTTTAGTTATACCCAAATAAACAGTGGAAAAGTTACAATAAAGTTATACCCGAAAAAAGTTATGAAAAAGTTACAAAAAAGTTATACCTGAAAAAAGGTATACCCAGGAAAAGTTATAACTAAAAAAAGTTATACTTATCAAAAAGTTATGAAAAATTAAGTTACAAAAAAGTTATACCCCAGGAAAATTACGAAAAAGTTACAGAAAAGTTATACCTTAAAAAAGTTATACCTAAAAAAAGTTATAACTACAAAAAAGTTATAACTATAAAAAGTTATAACTACAAAAAGTTATAACTATAAAAAGTTATACTTATTAATAAAAACTTATGTAAAAGTTCCAGTGAAGTTATACACTTCCCGTTGTGGATTTACTCAATTATAAGCTTTTATAAAGCTATACTCATTAAAATTTATACAAAGAGATTTTTGAAATTTATACAAAAAAGATTACTTAAAACAAATTAAAGGCAATTACAATTTTACTTAATAAACATGATAAAGATAGCTTGGCTCATTGTCAAATACAACTGAATGAATGCACATACATGTTTTCAAGTCTACCTTATTTTTCATCATGTCATCTTCAACAGATTGAAATTTCTCTGGTTGTTTTATAGAATTAATTTTTAGCATATAGCAATTAGGGTCTTTGTACAATTACCTAGCATACTGCATTCTACTCTTGCTAATTTGTATAAATAGACTTAACTTTTGAAATATTAACACCTTATTTATTCATGATCTTGCTGTACTTCAAAATAGAGCCACCCTTGACATGCAACGATCATATTAGGCCAAGTTAGTTGAAGGACTTGGCCATCCCTTGACAGGCCGCACTGGTAGTTGGTCAAGATAGTTGACGGACTTGGCCATCCCTTGACAGGTCGCACTGGTAGTTGGTCAAGTTAGTTGACGGACTTGGCCATCCCTTGACAGATAGTAGGTTAAGTTAGTTGATGGACTTGACCGTCTCCCTTGAAAAGCTGTACTGGTAGTAAGCCAATCTAGTTTGACTTCAATGACAGGCTGCATTGGTCAAGATAGTTGAAGGACTGGACAAGCCGCACTGGTAGTCAGCCGAGCTAGTTGATGGACTTGGTCATCCCTTGACAGGCCGCACTGGTAGTCAGCTGAGCTGCCCGAGGGACTTAGCTGGTGGTCTGCGTCCCTCATTTAGGGACCGGGCTGGTCAGACGTCTTGGCTGGCAGGCAGTGTGACTCGTAGTCGTCAACGTTTTCGATGAAATATGCTTGCAATTTCAACCTTCAAATCATTTTTCTTCAATTCTGAAAAAAATTGTAAAGGTTCAAAATTTAGATATTTCCACCTGAATATCAAATTGAAACCACTCTTTCATATCAATTAATTCATTAATTCATCCATAACATGGAAAACAAGACTAATTAAAGATCTATACTTACAGGAATTAGTGTTAGATTGATAGATTTATTGAATTTTGAAATGAAAAAAAAATATTATTTTACTTACCTTGAGCACATAATATTTTTTGAAGAATTTCACTCCAGGTCAGCACATAAGTCAGAGATGCTCATGGAAAAATCATACGCCAGTATGCTGCTTTTATAAAAAAAAATAGAACATTAATCTTAAATTACTCAATTCATTACATTAACATTGCAGCTATAGATCATGTCATAATCACATCGATGTTAACAAGGCTTCACATTATTATAACAGTTCAGGGAATCTAAAAACAATTTTGGGAATAGATGTGACAAAGAACAACATATTTTATCAATATTATACTAAATGCTGAAAAAATATTATGTGTTTCAAATACTTTCAATTTCTTTGCTTCATTGTTTGTCATTTGACATACCATTAAAAATCAAAACAAACAAGAAATACAAGATTCACACACCTAGAATTTTGTTCATTCCCAATATTTCTTCTTTTTGTATTGTTCTTCGAGAGGTACTAAGTATTCTTTACCAAAAATCATTAAATGTTAGCATAAATATCGCCTTACCAACTGGTTTTATCTCCTTTTTCTATCAACACTTTCAAATAACATCACAACATTCAAATCGTCCATTAAAAAATCCGCGCTCTGTTGTTGACCAATCATAGACCTCAAAAACGTCACGTGATAGGAAAAAATTAAATAAATAATTCATAATTAATTTATTTTAAATCCAAATAAACATAATTGTGCATTTTAAAACTTAATTTGAATATTAAAACACCAGTTGATGTTAAAATTTTGAGTTTATTCTATCAACAAAACGGACATCGGGGGCCGCCATATTTTTTCGTCGCCGCCATTTTTGATTTAACATTTGTTTATTTGTGAAAATAACTATTATAACTGGGTTATTTAATTATGCAAACAATAAAATCTACATGTACTAGTCCTCTGCTTAAATGTTTACATAACTGGCAGTCTTTATTTCCAACATCGTAATATCTGTTTAAAATAAACCTGCATATACTCTATGCTGTTGTTTATCTTTCTAGCCACCCATATTACGACTGATTTTCTTCAGATTTCAAAGAACCTGTGTAGAATTGTACCATTGCATAATACACATAGCTGAAATTTACGAATTGCTGACCACAAAGGTCACCTAGTACAAACACCTGTGTCACAGTAAACAATAGGGAAATTTACACAGTTTTGCACACGAAGAAAAATCCGTGCAAAATTCACATGACTTCATGGGATTACAACATTTTACTGTTTATATCTCTTGCAGGGCATTTATATTTCCCCAGAATGATGGAATATTTATTCCCAACTTCAGATGTACATGCATTATTATAATTTACAAGACAAATATTAAGTCTCATCGGGGTCTCAATAAATACGTTTTTTCTGAGAGAGAGAGAGAGAGAGAGAGAGAGAGAGAGAGAGAGAGAGAGAGAGAGAGAGAGAGAGAGAGAGAGAGAGAGAGAGAGAGAGATAATATTTATTTAAAGTGGGTACATCAACAAAGAACATTAGCTCTGAAGAGCTATTTTCCGACTACAGAGAGAGAGAAATTTTCCCAACTTCAGTTGAATCTTACATAACAAATATAATTTAATATAGACAATTATATTTATTATACACACACATTGACAAACACCCTCACACTTTACACACCAGAGAGAGAGAGAGAGAGAGAGAGAGAGAGATTCTCATTTATAGATGTAATTTACAAGATTTTATTTCCCATCCCTTCTGTTGAACTTGACATGACTGTGAACAGCATATTTATTATGAATGAGAAATCAATCATTGGTAGTAAACAATAATAATTAATATTGTCTAAGAGCCCTCAGGCAGTCCCTTTTTTTCTTAAAAAAATTATCTATATATTCCTAGTGAATTTTCCCTCTGATTAGAAATAGGAATAATTGACAGTTTTCTGCTGCAGTGTTTGAAAAACAAGAAAACCCAACATTTTGAACTGATGATCAAAATTCATTCAAATTTAATTAACACTTAGGTATAATGATATTTTTGAAAAAAAGGTAAGAGTGTCAAGTAGTATCCATTAATTAACCCCAAAAACTTGTACATTTATACTGGTTATGCTTGAAAATGGCTAAGTTCAGAAAAGTTACATTTTAGTTATACATGAAAATGACAAACTCCAGAAAAGTTATGTTTTAGTTATACATGAAAATGGCTAAGTCCAAAAAGTTACATTTTAGTTATACATGAAAATGACAAAGTCCAGAAAAGTTATGTTTTAGTTACACATGAAAATGGCTAAGTCCAAAAAGTTATATTTTAGTTATACATGAAAATGACGAAGTCCAAAAAAGTTACATTTTAGTTATAACTTTTTTGTACCTCAGAGCCTAGGTATAACTAAGTTATACTTTAGTTATAACTTTGTTATAACTTTTTTCGGCATGGGAAGTTTTAGATTTGTATTTGTGCTTGTTCCACATCAAAATATAATCAGTTTTGTTTGCTTCAGTAAAGACAAACTCAAAAAAAATTCTAGAATATCATTGAATAATTTAGAAACTTGAGTTTCCATTGTTTCAAGAGGATATAGATCAAGAAATTGCAGGTCCCTTTTAGAATAAAATTATATTTCAGGCAGCTTCACTTGGGGTGATTACAGCTTAATGTTTTTGGCCGCTGATGAGAATGGAAATACTGCCATGTGCCGTAGCAAGCTGTATGTAAAATGTAAGTTATACTTTATTACATTCTACAAGGTTAAATTAAATTGTCCATTAAGACTAACTTCAATTCAATCAAGTCTACCCCAATTTTAAAACTAATCTGACTGAATCTTATTTTGTCTATGGAAATATATATACTACAGATGCATATGATCCATTGAGACTTCATCTGTATTAAAAACAAGACTGCATTATAATTGCAGTAAGGTTCATTACTTATAGGGAGAGTGTTCTGACCCATCAGGCTCTTGTATTTCTGATGCCTCATCAGGTGTAATTTAGTATATTGCTAAGAAACTTGAATATATTTGATGATTTACAAACTTGTTCATTTTAGATAATGCTGATTGCCCTCCACCAAGAAAGCCACCCTCTCTTATCATTGGTTACTGTTCAGGCAGCAAAGATATTTGTAAACTGAGTTGTCCTGGTAACCAAGTTCTATCTATCCCAGTTCCAAAATATAAGATGTGTTCAAAGCTTGGTGTGTATACTCCTCTCAAACCACGACAAAAGTTTGCATTGCCATCATGTGGAGGTAAGTGTTCTGAATTATTTTTTTCATAAAGGACAAGATAGGCTAAGACTTTTTTTTGGCCCCTGATTTTTGGCATCTTTTAGACTGATGCAACAGTTTATTAATAAAAACTTTTTGTCACCTCTGCCACAAAATGAGTATTGGTTCTAAGTTATGGGATACACAGAGAGGTCAGAAAATATGTCAATTTCTGAATTTTCCCATTTTGATGAAAATTAACATCGATTTTACTGCACAATTGTTCAGAAAACAGAGAGCACAAGCTTGCCTTTCCATCATATTTATATATTTCATACACATTGTATCAGATGCATGTTGTATAAACATTGTATCAGATGCATATGTTATGTATAAAAATCTCAGATAGGCAAGCTTGTACTCTATGTTTGTATTCTATGCTTGAAGAGAAAAGCATCTCAAATATGACAAAATTCCACCAGAATTAAGGAAATGCAGGAAAATGTTCCATTTCTTCATCCTACTGTGGCTTCTTTGTAATCAAAATACTGCTGGTTTTAAAACAAGCTTCATTTTAAGTACTTAACTATACAAACAATCCTAATATAAACTGTGTTCTGATTTTTACATCAAATAAGGGGCCAGAATCAGCCTTTACCTTACCTTGTCCTTTGTAGGATTATTCAGTTTATAGTTCCAAATCATCCTAAATGTACTACTGCAATAAGAAAATTACTGAAACATTAATAGTTCTATTTTGATTTAACTCATTCTTTTGATTTCAACTCTTGTCTTTTCAATTGACCAATATTTTGCTATTATTCATGTGATATCCTTTTTCTGTAGACTATATACATTTGTAGTAAAGATTTTATATGTTTGATTACACTTTTTTTCTCCAGGCAAAACAGATACACAAATTCAGATAGAAGTCTCCTTAAAATTTTCATTAGCCGTTGTCTGTGATGTGTCTTTGGAATCACCAATAGAAAGAAAACTAAAGACGGATTTTAAAGATAACGTTTACCAGAACTGGAATAATGTCTGTTCAGATTCTGACTGCTCAAATGTGGACATCAGCTCTAAGTGTGTTACTGGCAAAGAACAGATGACAGTTGCTATGAAAATAAAGAATTTAAGGTAAAATGATGTTAGTTCATTAGCAATTAGATACTCTTTCCACATGTTTATGCCCCCCTCTAAAGAAGCGTTTCCACATTCCTACTGTAAATTTATCCCATGCGGGAAAAGTATGTCTACAGTATTCAATTAAAGCCATAATATTCTAATTGAAACTATGTACTTATCAAGTGACATACTCTCAGACTGATAGATGCTTTAACTAACATAATTCTAAGCTAAGTAGAACCTGAAATACAGGTAATTAAGTTTCAAAAGTAGGTCACTGTTCATCATGTTATTCAGGCAATTGCTAAGGCCCATGGGCTTCCATTATGCCTTTGCAATCAAATAAGTAGACAATTTATTTGTATACAATAAAAAAAATATATAGCTTTTTTTGTCATTTATGTTTTTTTAGAAACAGTATTACTAAAAAGAGTGGTTCTAACACATACACAGCAAAAGAAGTCTTCAGAGTTCTAATATTTGAAGATGCTGTTTTCATAGTGGATGTAAGTTATTTTGTCATATCAAATACCTTATATTGAGATTCAATTTACACTGTGTTGTTGTATTTGTGTCCCCCACTTTCACTGAAATTTGGGGATATTAATTTTGGTCAGTCCATCTGCAACACTTTTGTTTCTGCAAGATATCTCAAAAAGCCTTTGAGCATTTGCATTGGAATTTTACATAGCAACTCCCTATATGGCCTAAAGAAGACCCCTATTTATTTTGAGGTCAAAGGTGAAGGACATAAATTCTGTCTGTTTTAACACTTTTGATTCTGTGTGCTATCTTGAGAAGCCTTTGAGCTTTTGTGATTGAATGTTATACTACAGCTCCATATGTTCCTATTGGATTTTAATGTCAAAGGGTCCAGGTTGTAAATATCGGTATATATTCTACTCTAAATCCATTCATTACTTTCAAAGTACAATAAAAAACTAACACACCATTTGGACATAGCAACGACACGCAGCAGCTTTATTTGTACAGTGTACATAACATGCAAAATATGAAAATCAATTTGTATATACATGTTTATGTTGGATTGAATAAAACATGTTGAAATTTTAACTTTATCGTGCACTATGTGTTGTCCTAAACTGGCATTTAAACCACTATTTACCTCTTATATAGCCTTGCTAACGAGACCGGTTCTAAAGAACCATGTGATATTCACCAGGTATTTGAATGAAAACCTTGTAATTCTGAAAAAGTAATTCATTATCACACCAAGTAGAAATTGATTTCTGTCTAATTCGTTCCTCAAATGAAAGAAATCATATTATTCTGCTTGTGTGTAATACTTTTATGATATCTCATTACAAGAAGCTTTTGAGCTTTTTCAATGAAACTTTATACCATACCTTCCAATAGCACCAACAGCCCCTCTTAAAGTATCCTTTTTATTGTTGTACATGTATTGTCACAGAACATTGTACTTTGAAAGTGGCTAAATCATCATATTGACCTTAAAAACAGCAAAAAAAAAAATCTTGCATGGGGTCTAATGTACCTTCAAATAAATGAAATATTTTTTTTTTTTGCAAAGGGTGTTGGTGGTGCAAAGCTTCTGAATGACCAAGTAATTACAGATATTGTATCATGTCCAGATGGTAACATGGTTATAGAGGGTAATTGTGGTAAGTATCTTTATATCAAATATAAATTTCATTGGAATTTCTGTTGCATTTCAAGTGATGAAATACATACTTTTGAATGATTGGAGATAGGCTTCCATATTTTACATTATCTATGACAAGACCTTTTTGAATGCTTTTGACCTCATGACTTTGAAGTTTGGCACAATTTTAACAAGCAAGTTCAAAGAATTCTGGTCTCCGCTTTCAGTGTCTGTGGATAAGATGTCATTATTAGGACCCCGCAAGGATTTGCGGGTGCCCTATAGTAATCACTGTCTGTCTGTCTGTCTTTCTGTTTTTTAGGTCTTTCCACCTTTCTGTGGAAAGACCTATTGAAATTGTTCTGTTTATTATTATTATTTTTCCGCCAAACGTGTTTTTGAGTTTCAAGATTTATCGAAAAGATTTATAGACCATAAGAATGTACTTCGTAAATGATTTTCGCAGTTGACCCTGCGTATATGAACTTTGACTCTTAAAGGAGTTATTGCCCCTTTTGCAATAAATGCTTGTTATCGCTACTCCTCCGAAACCGTAAACCGCAGAGATTCCAAACCTTTATTAATGTCTGCGACTACTTGAAAGGATCTTCGGATCTATTCATTGCGAAAGGATTCGTAGACCCCTACTGTGAGTTTTTGCCCCTGAAAGTTTTTGAATTTTACAAATAATGAAAAATTTTTAAAACGAGAAGTTGTAGAGACATGGGACCAACTGCACAAGATTCATTGACCTTTGTCCTTAAAATTTATGCAAAGGTCAAAGGTCAAGGTCATTCCAAAAATGAGAAATTAAGGTCTTTTTATATCTCTTTCGTTTTTCAACGTATACTTAAAAGCTGTAACATTAATATGCCCTCTTAAAACTATTTGAAAGATTTTATTCTTTGTCCCCTAACATTAACTCTTATAAAAGTTATTGCCCCTTACGCAAGAAATGCTTGTTATCGCTACTCCTCCGAAACCATAAACCGCAGAGGTTTGAAACCTTTACCAATGTCTGCGACTACTTGAGAGGACCTTCGGATTTTATTC